AGTTCCCAGAAACCAGTTCCCAGAAACCAGTCCCCAGAAACCAGTCCCCAGAAACCAGTTCCCAGAAACCAGTTCCCAGAAACCAGTCCCCAGAAACCAGTTCCCAGAAACCAGTTCCCAGAAACCAGTCCCCAGAAACCAGTTCCCAGAAACCAGTTCCCAGAAACCAGTTCCCAGAAGTCACTTCCCAGAGACCATTTGACCCGCGTTCCGAAACGATCCGAATCCGCGTTCCGAAACGAGCTGAATTCGCATTCCAAAACGAGGCGGCGGCCGTCCGTCAGCAAGACACCAGAAGAGTAAGAACGAAAACGCAGCAAAGTAAGGAGGGGAGAGGCCACGGACGCTGACGAGACGCCTTAAACACTTGGCTTCGGTTGTGGTGTGCAACAAGTTGGCATTCGAACTCATTCGGCGTGGACAGTCCACTTTGCGTGAACTCCAAGTCGTCTGTGGGGGCTTTGTTTACCTGTGCATGTTTCGTGCAGCTTGAACGACGTATTCGAGCACATTGAAGTTGCCTAAGGAGATGAAGGTAGAGCTTGCCAGGTTTATCTTGTTGTCACCCCTAGCCCAGATGGACTTCCGGGTCCCAGTCGATGGACAAGTCACATGCTCGGATGCTTCATGCGAAGGTGGAGGGCTGTGTGCCTCCCAGTCTCTCACCGAATATGGCGTCAGCGCATTGAACTCCCAAGCGAGGGGAGACGTTGCCGATGAGGAGGACATGATTCAAGTACTGAGCGTTGGCTTATTTGACGGCATTGGGGCGTTGCGTGTTGCATGTGACATGGCAGGCTTTCCCATGGCGGGACATGTCAGCATAGAGCGGGATGCCAAGGCCCAGCGTGTTGTTGAGAGCCATTTCCCGGAGACCATCTTCTTTGACGACATTGTTGATTTCTCACGACAGCAGGTTGAGGAGTTGGCGTTTAAATTTAGCAATGTGGGGCTGGTGTTGATAGGAGCAGGGCCACCCTGCCAAGGTGTCAGCGGGCTCAACGCTGATTGAAAAGGTGCACTGAAAGATCCTCGGAGCTCGCTTTTCAGCCATGTTCCGCGTATCGTGGAGGATTTCAGGTCTTGTTTCCCTTGGGCTCAAATTCACGAACTGGTTGAGAATGTTGCCAGTATGAGTACAGAGGATCGGTCGGTCATGAGTGAAGCCTTCCAGAAGGTGCCCTATATCGCATTGATGCTAATGGGGTATCTTTGTGCGGGAGGCCAAGGCTATATTGGGTCTCCTGATCCTGAAAAGCAACACTGTCTGTTTTTTGGGGGGTGGGGCAGAGATGTGGCCCCAAGCGAAGCAGGGGCGCGGTCTGTCATCCTCCGTTTGAATCATCTGCCAAACTGCTTTGCGATGTTTACCTCAAACATGTAGCAAGTTTTTCGTGTCCAGGGTCGCCTCCGGGTTGTGAAAAAAATTGAGAAGATGCGGCCCCACAAACGCACTGGCCTGAACCTCCGCCTGCAACACCACCTTGCCACAGCCGGCCCAGTCATGACCTTCCGGGACGCTGACCTGAACGCCGTCTTCATCATCAAGCTGCCTGGCTCCCACACAGCTAGGATTCCACGAGGTCCCCATCCTGAGAAAACCAAGACGTCCTGAGAATCGGTTATTAGTTTAAGCCCTGAAACATGACACCATATCGTCAACCAGTTCAGCCGGCAAACTCTGACAGTTCCCAACAGAGGTTGCTCTACTCCTTCCACACGGAAAGGGGAAAATAAACCTTCAAGTCAGTGCAAACCACACCATAGTGGTGATGTTGCTCATTTTCCCGACCAAACCCAAGGCGCGCAACGACCGACTCGCGGAACGCCGCCGTTGCGTGGCCGGAAAACGGGCCGCACCTGTACAAATGCGGCCCGCATGGGCACGAAGGCAAAGATCATGGGGTGCCCAGATTTCAGTGGAATGGCACCCGGTGCTTTTAAGGCGTTCAGTCGTCTCGTCATGGTGTGCGGTTTATGTACTGGACTCGGTGACATCAAGAGTTCTCTCTCCAAGAAACCAGGTGCCTCTGTTATAGCAAATGCTTTTCTGGCTGATTGAGAAGGTGGGTTGACCAGTGCTTTTACAGGTCAGTTTGACCTTGTTTGACAGGATTTGATCATACCAAAACAATCACTACTCAATGAGGCAAAGAACCAGTAGGTTGTTCCTGGAACAGACTGGACCTGCAGCGCTTGGTTCAGGCCACTCCTCGTCTACAGACTGTGATTTAGGGACCCCAGAAATGACCCGCCCAGGATGTGGAGCGATCTGCCTCGGCGACCTGCAGATCCTTGAAGCGATCCTCCCGTGCCGTGTGACTAACCGTTGGGTCAGTGGCTCTCGACGGGTGTTTCTTTCGCTGCTCGCTACTAGTCAGTGTTGTTTCGGAACAGGTCCAAGATTAGCGACTCTTCCATTCTGGAGGCTACTTATGTCGTAGAGGTGCTCTGTCCTAGCATTGGCTCTTTCAACTCAAAGTCGCTTGAAGCCCAAAGCAAAGCAATGAGCAAATCAACAACTGAAACCCCAACAGCTCTGGCCGAAAAAAAGTGTCTTTCTTTTCACAAAAAAACGTACAAACACTCTCTATATTTGCACTCGTTTTGGAAAATGGATGAACATGGTATTTTGATTCAATCATCTCGTTTGCCGTGCATGCGTGCATGCCATGTTTACCTTTGTTTGCCATGCCTGTTGTTTTGTTGTTTCTGTTCGTTCAATGGTGATCGACCTGATTTCTTGGAAAATCCTTGGAGTGCTTAGAGGAGTTCACCGTTATACTTTCTGACTCCCTCAACAATTATCTCAATATATTTATAAAGGTTATAACCATTCTCCACCACCTGTTCGTTTTTACGTGTTTCCCACATATATACATAGTGGGGAAAAAATAACAACAAAATAAGTAATAATAAAAAAAACAACAACACACTCTGCCAAAAAAGAGGCTTTTACGTTGTCCACTGAATGGGTAGCCTCTTTAGCACAAGTCAAACTTTTGTGGAGTGAGAAAGGGGTTGCAGGGGTTGCCTTCTCCCAAAGGACATTGTTGTCTGATTTTTGTGTTGGGTGTTTTGTCACAGCATGCGGTAGCTGTGACCTACATAACAGCAGGGCGAACCAAACACATGTTCTTTTGCTTTACAAAACGCCACTTGACTCACAATGCTTGGACCCCCAAGTAATGGGCTTTCATCAAACATTCAACTTCGCCAGTGCTAACTGACCCCACCCTGCCAGTGCATGAGAGTTGCTCATTAAAGACCCTGACCAAACCAAACAAGTAAGAACCTTTACCAGCACCAGCCAAAGGTGGTTTATAGAACCCCCTGACTGTGACTATGTAATTTCCATCCAATAACCACCCTTTGGGTGGTGCGGGAATTCCACTCTTCCTACAGTGCCCTATTCCCTTCCCTCCCAAAGGCCCTTCTGCCATCGGTGTTGAGGCATCAGAACGTATTGAACCTCAACCTTCGGCACCCCCCCGTGATGTCTTCTTTTTACCTCAACGGCACTTGGCTTTCAAGGCCTGCAAGGCAAAAGGAGCGAAAAGGGGATGCAAATGAGGAAAAACAGGTGAAAACGATTGGACTTCGTGTCAGAACTAAGAATCCGGATGTGTTTTGAAAGAGGACCAAGTAAAAAGCACTGGAAAGTGGGACAATATCGACTCAAACCCTTTGGCGAAAGGCTCTACCAGTCCTCGGTCTCCATGTTCCAATACGTGACCAACATTTATTAATTAAAACATATATTGAATCATGAATTGAACATGGACAAAAGCACTTTTTTCCCTGTCCACAGCTGCTTGATGCCTCTTGACTGACATCTCCCAATGGAAACCTGATCCAAACCTCCAAGCACAATATACTGGTTGTTTAATGCTTGGTACCACAGCTACGTAGAGCCGTACTGTTTTGGAAGTAAATCCTGTTGTCTCATAAAGCTGATGATCCTGGCCAACCCATACACCACAAACTATGCGCATCAAATCATTCACATCATTAAGAAAACTACCTTTTTTGCCGCGCCATGATTCATGATTACCGAAGGAAGGAGGTCCTGCAGAACGTCATGTTTTTTTCAGCCCCAAGACTTGGATTTTAAAAGGGATATAATACAACATATTACACTCCCACGACCACATCACATGGAAGTGGAACATGGGCCCGTTTGAAGACGATCTTCCTTCACAAACCACGTGGTTTCCATGGTTTTCCACTTCCGTGTGATGTGTTGACAAATTACCTGGACAAACTCCTGCTACAGCAGATGCTCACCACTTCATTTCGGAACCCTCCGAGGTGGTTTGCCTGTGCTTTGTAGAGCCCCCCCGGGCTGCCACGTGGTTGCACGGGCCACAGGTAGGTATGAGTGTCCCAGATCGAACGAGCATAGAATACTTTGGGCTCTTTTGCATGCTTTTGCTCTAAACTCTCAAGATCCAAGCACACAAATTCAGAAAGAAGGGATATCAAATGAGATCAGGCTAGGGTACTAGGGGACGCATTTGAGTTTCTCTCAAACTGATGCGAACCCAACACGCCCAGTACAGTAGTACGAAAGTGTATGAAATGAAAACACAACCCGCACCAAAACCGCGTGTGCACCACCTCTCCCCACCTTGAGTTCTCGCAGCTGCTCCGGACTCGCGCCGGACTCACTGGCACTGGCCATCTGGACGCAGTTCGCCAGCAGTTTTCCGCGGCCACTGCCCTCGCTCCGCGTGCGGCTGGCCAGGCGGGCCAAAACCAGGACCTCAGGCGGCGGCTTCCACCCCAAAGTCAGATTGGGCGTTTCGCCACCCGGTCGAGGATGGGAACGGTGGCATGGTTGGAAAGTTACTGTACCAGCACTCTGACTCTACAGGTCTTCTCGTTTCTTGGTATGATAAGTTTTTGGGATGTGATGCCTTGGGTGTTGTCTCGGTCCTTCTATAGCCAAGGGCTTGAAGCACATCCCCAGGCGATTGGGGTGGGTGCCAGGGGGTTCTAACCACTGAACCTGAGGATGTGGTTGGAACCTTAGGGCCCTAGGGATTTTATAGCGATCATCTTGGACCGTCCATTGCAGTCGGGCATCACAGTGGATGTGGCCTTGGCTAGGGCAAGACCAGGAGTCACTCCTGATCACCCGATTGCACTTGACCTGGCTTTCCAATACATTCCTAGTGGGTTCTACGCACATCTATCTAGTTGGGGGTCTATATAACAGGTCAACACTCAAGCACACATGGTGATTGCTGAGCACTTCAATCTAGAACTTCAGGAGTCCAACTCACGCCCAGCAGTTCCATGTCGGCGTGCGGACCTGCTGGGCCTTGCCCCTGTCACATAGGCCTTGCCCCTGGATGGGGCCGACCAGACGACCAGACCACCCCGACATGTAACTCTGGGAGTCCAATAGACTACCCTACCCTACTTATATAGGTCTCCAGACAGGGCACCCAGACAGGAAGTGCTAGGTATCACTCAGCTTGCTTATATAAGTTCTACTTCTATGAGGACCTCGACTCTACGAGTCACCGGGTCACCGGGTTGGTGTGAAACACCTCCTCCCGTGTCCTGCATTTCTCCAAGACGCTCGATCCCATTCTTGACTTTGAAGGATGCCCATCATCGTGGTGAAGGTGGTGTCCTCGATGAAAGGGGCATGAGGTTTTCCAGTAGCATCGCCACTAGCGTGTGGTTCACCCCTATCACTCCCTGAGCATAAACGTACAAACCCACCAAAAGGTCAGTGACTAAGCTGGTCAAGGTGTTGATGACACTGCGCTCTTCTAGATATAGATCCCCAACAAAATTGGTTTCTTCTAGACCCTGGGAAGAAAAACATGATCAACATATATCCCTATGTATCCCGACTCAGGTCCAGTCTGACCCAGTGTTTTGGTATCACCAACTCCAGGAGCTCCATGAGGTCAGTTCCCGACCCGTCGGGTATGGGCGTGCAGCTCAAATAGGGAGACCTCCCAGTGAAAGACTCCCTGGAAGAAGGGAAATCGACCCGGTCTAGCCATTGGTGGGTATCCCTATTCAAAGACACACAAATAGAATGAAATCCACCCGGTCTACCCATTGATTTTTTTTATCTTCTTTTTAAAGAGAAAAACACACACCCATATGTATGCATTACCCATTGGTGGTGAGTATCCCTATTTAAAAGACACACCCATCTTGGTCTCAAAGCCTTTTGGACTCTCCCAGCGATCGTGGACCGGTGGATCAAAGGGCCTAGAGAGGATTCGCTGGGCTCCCCACGGTGGTGAACCACCACGTGCATAGCTAGACCACGTCCATGTCCGAGTGGAAGACTTGCCGGCCCACGCTTACTGGCAAGCTCACCCCAGGTTCGGAAACTATGGTCACTGGGATGCTAGGATGGCTTCTGGGCCAAACACAGGTACAGGCACCCTGACCTCCTGACCCTGACCAGTCGCCTCTAGCAGTCCGAACAAACGCCATACCTCCCTACCCTACTCTGAACATATTGTTTTACTTGTGAATATGAGGCCAACGTAGGCTACCCCTTGGCTTCCTTGAGCAGTGGGGACCGACTCCCCCATGTCAACCTTGTTCCACCTGTTCCACCTTAGTGGGGGAACCGATCCCGTGAAAAAAAAAACAAGTGAAAGCTCCACTGACTGGGTCCCTCTCTACCCCGATCCACGAAGCATACCGATCGGCCAGGTCTCATCTGGTTGAACCCCATGGTGCAGCATCAACTCGAAAGCAGCCCAGGCCTCCGTAACATGACCGCTAAAGGGGACAGAACGGAAGGAACCACAACTGGTGAGAAGAACAACAACACCAAATTAGAAGGTCTTCGCATGTTACATGAAATCCCACCTGGGAAGAACTCCAGAAACGTTTCCACCTTCCATGCGTCTATATGTGTGAACCCGAGTCAAACTACGGCTTCTATGGCAAACTTATTCGATACGAGTCGACTCAAAAACCATGGAGAAACGTCTGGAAACGGGCCCCTTGACGTCGTTGATGTTTCTTCTTGTGTAGGGGTTCGGAGTGATCCCTTTTTCATGTGTTTCCTCTGATAATAGTCTAGTCCACGGTGCGAAGGCAACACTGTGTTGCCGCAGGGGCCTGCAGGGGTCGCTGGCCTGAATGATAGGCAATTTCCTTAAAGGTGAATAGGTGAATGGATGAACGGAATGGTTTGCATTCACCTCTGCCCCTAGGCCCTAGTTAATGGATCCACATTTGTAAGAAAAACATATATATATATACATACAGGTGAGACAAAGGTGCTACAACGAGTCTGTCCATCAATCTGTTTGGTGCAGTCAGGCTCGTTCACTTCTCCGAAATGAGCAATATTGGTGGGGCCAGTCTTGAAATCTAGGTCTTCTCAATGTGGACAAGCAATGTTTGTCTTTATGTTTGGGAGCACTCCTGCTTCAAAACACATCAATCCTGCAAAAGGATTGGCAGTTCTCTGTTTTCGGGCACCAGAACCAGTATTATCCTTGGCCTTGTACTCGTGCGCGTCACGAGTCACCTCGTACTCGTTCGTGTCACCTTCTGAAGGTATATATATAATATATACAGTACATTACAGTACATGTTTCTCGAAAATTTGCCTTCCTATTGCCATTAGTTTACGGATGTTTACGGTAAATCTCCTGAAAAAGGACGGAGATTAACCCACAGTTCTTTCGACACACACTCACACAGGCACATCTGGCCTGGTCATACTTCTTGAAGCGAAAGCACCCACTCATAAGACAAGTGTAGTGGATCACTGAGGGTTTCTGTCTGAAGCGCCGCTCCCAGCTCCTGATTGCAGCGGCAAAAGATCATAGCCGCAGGCATGTTTGTCCATATAATTTGCGGCATTATGCAGTAGCAGTAGGGTTCAGGATTTTATACAGTGGCAGTCTAGCCAAAACCTTTTGACTTCCTATGCAACTCCTTGAACGAATGACCGCTGCGACAGCAGCATCTGACAACACAACTGCGTTAAAAAAAAACATCATCCTTTCTGTCAAACCATTGTTTTTCCTGATGTAGAATCACACATTAAAAAACACAAAACACAACCCATTTGGATGCACGGACTTGCGGTCAAAGAAGCGCCCACACCGCCCCTTGTCACCGCCCCTTGTGACGGTTGAGCATGTGGGTTGAGCATGGACACGGTAGGACAATGGCAAATGCAAAAGGCTCTACAACGTGGACACACTTGATTGGACCCCGCCTTGAGATCACTGAGAAATACAAATGATGCACCGCGGAGCCAAGGGAATGGACTTTGACCATCTACTGTTGTGAGGGAGACAGGCTGTAGTAGACCTCTGACCGATGGCACAAACCGGAAGGGTCTCTTCAGGCGCAGGAAAAGAGCTACAGTGCAAATGGTGATTTTCATCAGCTTTCAAAAAGGCAGCCGGCCCTGGCTGAAGTCCATTGGCTGAGGCTACGGCTGAAGCCATTTGAGACTCACATCAAAACAATCGCAGATCTTACACAAGTACTCCCTGTCAAGCACGGCCTCCAAAAATGGCATCAAGATCAGGACTGAAACCCTACATGTTTCAAATCCCCGAATGTCCCTACCCAACCAACAATTCATTTTGGGAAGATAATTCTTCAAATCTCCAAGTAAAAAGATCTTAATACGAACTGTGCTCGGAACAGTACTCATTGACGTCATACATCTCAACTGCCGAAGTTGCAAACACTCAGGCTCCAGCAGCATCAAGCGCGTGAAGCAATGTTCACTTAATAAAGCTGATTGTAAAACCATTGCTTTTCCTGATGTAGACTCTTGATTAAGAAAAACATATATAACCACCCCATTTGGATTGAGCATTCTCTTTATTAATGTATGGGAGGCTTTATTAATCAAGAATCTACATTCATTACTCCCACATGATCTGCCACATCTAGCATGATCTGCTGCCACACATGGATACTCTCATCAAATGCTCCAGCAGATTCCTGCTTCATCACCCGACTTCCCCCGCGGCCGTGTTGGCGCTCGGCGCCCTCGTTCGGTCGAGGTGCTGGAGCAAGTGGAAGGCCTCTGCGTGAGCTCCGCAGCGGCCGTAGAGCTTCAAGAGCGTGACCTGGTTCCAATCCCATCCATCCCCATCCCCTGGGTGCGCAGCGATTTATTTCGGCGCGCGGCTGCGATGCGGGGTCTTGGCATGCGATCTTTGTTGGATGTTTGAGAGAGGCGCAAAGTCCTGATTCATGGGACAAGGACCATACAAGACTACGGATCTGAGCAATGTCTGTCCCAAGGAAGAGGAGGGCAACAGTGCAATCATAGATGGTCTCAAACGCCTGGTTTTTTGTACAGTAGGGACCTTCTTGACCTCCCAGTGAAACCCTGTCCAAGTCCACAAGCCTTCTCTCTTATGTCTTACATCGACATTCACAATCTTCGGAGGATCCAACGATCTAATCAAAATATAGTTCTGGAATGTTCTGGAGAAGTTGAGCAGGTCAAAAATCATTCGGAACTTCTATGGGATGTTGGACTTTCTGTGGATCCACGTGCCGACTGGTGGAAATTTCTGAAGGAATTCACAATGTTATCTCCACCCACCCAATCCGAGAGATTCCTACCTACAACCCGACCGTGCACCCGCACCAGCGTGAAGTCTGAAGGCACAACGCCTGTGCCGATCGACGATCAACCAAATCGACTGGGTATTCTGCGACTGATTCCCTGAATTGGAAACAAACAGTCAAAAGGATTACATTTGCTACATTTGCTACATTGATACGGATGAAATGCTCACTCAGTCATGTGCACTAGCTGCTATTTGCACGTCACATGCTGCAAAAAACAGGCAGTATCCAGTATCCATGCGATTTCCTTGTGCATATTCCTTTTGTCAAGCCAACTACTGTTCCATGTTCGCAGCATATGTGGTCGAATGATGTCGAGTGCACTTACAGTACTTGGTTGTTCCAGCATAGCCCCGTGATAGAACCTTTTGACTACAACTCACTGAGCAGGCTGGCAACCTGTTTAGCCCCAAACCGGCAGAATATACAAAACAAACATCAAAATACAGCAGTATCATTTTTTTGGTGTGGTGTGGCAATGCACAACTTAGTGAATCTTGCAAACCCCTGAGGTCCTTTACCAGGAATAGCAGCAACGCCTGTTTCTTCCCAGCAAAGATTTTCAAGTCCATTAGTGAAGCAATGGCGACCACTCTGATGCAAAGCCAATAGCTGCAAGCAGTTTTCAGCGGCATGTTCGGTGGGCTAAGCCTAGTGCTCGTTAAGGGCCTTTTTCACGGTCGCTCGTTTTTTGGGGTGAAGCAAAGCCACTAACACGGCCTTCAGGCACAAGTCCTTCCGAATTTGCACCCTTTTTGTCATGCCTTACCTATGGATCCACTGGCACCCTCCGAGATGCTCATTGGAGACACTTTGATAGGAGGGTCTATAGTCGTACCTGCGGAGAAGGCGTGTGGATTTTGTAGGCATTGTAAGTAATATGTGTTGCGCCGCCAAACTCCGAGGGATTGTGTGCTGCTGTTGGGGTTGCAAGCTCCGCAAAGAACGCCTGAAAGTTCCAAAACACCTCCAACTGTGAAACCATGAAAATCACTATATACACCCTTACTTTTACAACTGTCTGTGGAATCAAGTGAGGCTTACTGCAGGGCAAGCAAATATTGAGTATATTTGAGGATCATCTCAAACGGCCTAGGAGAACTCGTCCTTGAGCACTTGCTTACTTGTAGATAGTAAGTATACAGTATGTCTAAAACGTTTCGTTTCTCCAAGTGAATCCACGCATGAGATTATGTGGTTTAAAGACGGACATCAGGCCCTGCACGGGGTTCGGACTTCCCTCCACCAATGCATCGCACCGTTGGTTTGGCCAGCAGCAAAGAAGGAGAACGACAAGGAGGTGGCACGGTAATGGACCAACCCGAGAGAGTCTACCTACACACCCCGAGACTACACCCGGGACAACGGTCTCCGCCATGCGGTCGGGCCGTGTCCAAAGCTGGGTCGGCGCCAGCTCCCGGCCCTCGAGCGGCCTTTGCGGCCCTGGAGGCCGGGATGGTCACAGTGTCTCAAGGGGCGGATGCATTGCCAAAACACACCAAGCGTGAGCTTTGCCTGTAGCATTGTTGGGATTTAGAGTTAGCATTGCTACAGCAAGCCTCAGCGGTTGAACTGGGAGAGACCTCAATATCTGGAGGCATCTGCAAGAGCTTGTTGACCCACTGTGGTGTACATTTCCCAGACTGGGACGCAATGTACCATTCCCTTTTCTGCTTGGAGGCCTCCTCGTGTCCTCAGGCCAAGGCTCACGGGACTCCAGTGGCTCCAGGCCTGCCAGCCAGTGATCCCACCCGCCGGACTGCATGGCTCCGTTCGTCTCCTTGCTGAAGCTGTCCGAATATGTCCGATGTGAAAAAGCACAGATTGTTCAGCAAGGTCGGCGATTGACACTTCACACTTGCATGCGCGTTGCAGGCTCAATCTGCCTCTCGATGCCAGCGCAAAGGAGCTGGTTCGCTCGCTCATTGATGCCAGCGTTTGCTGCTTGTCTAGTTGCCACTCTCATTGACAGCGGACTTGGTGCTACCACTCCTCCCTGCTGAGTCACTTTGGAAAGCAAGCTCTATACTATCACTGGGACGACTTCAGTCAGTGCTGCGGCAGTCCTTTGTACCGTGAGTATATACTGCCCTTGGTGCGCTCTTCCGTCGCTTGCTTGTGTGAGGCCCGACTGCCGATCGGGTGCAAACCGTCACCCGATCGCAGTGGCGTTTTCTGCAAACAAACCGCAAAGGATGGCTGATGCTGATGGAGAACTCACTGCACTTCCTTGACAGGACCCTCCTCCAAATGAACCCAGGAAGACCCTGAAAACCACTGGGCTTGGCTTGAGATATCGTTGAGATATGTTGAGATCGTGTTCCAGCTGGTCATGCTTCAGGGCATGAAGAGAAGAACACAAAAGAACTGGGCTCCGCAAACATGTCACTGAAAGGAATCATGACAGTGACCACCTGTTTGGACACCGGCAAGACATGTCAAGACAAGTCTTCGTTCTCTTTACCATCCAAATCCATCCAATCATGGGAGTGTGAATCATGGGAGTGTGAACCAAAAAAGCCACTGCGCGAACCGGCTGGTACCAAAGCCATACCATCCAACCCACTGGTGACCATCCGACCTCGGGGCTGGGAGGTGCATGGAATGGGAGAAGTCCCGCAAAACGAGCCATTCTCTGTACCTCAGTATATAATTCACACTATGGGGAATGGAATCAACATCGAAGCATTGTTGGAAACTCTTTGACGAGTTGGTGATGATTTTGGATGTTGGAGAGTTGGAGACGCTCAGAAGGGCCTGCAACCCCCCCTTCCCTCTTAGACCAGGCTCCTTCATCCAACTCTGCTCAACTCACCGCCTGCATCGATGGACTTCTGGAAGAGCTCCTTGCCCAACTCATAGCGGCTCTCATGCCTGGCGAAGGAAGGCTTTGACCCACCGACGAGCGGATAAGAGTGGTCTTGGTGGAGCATGGTTTGCTAACTGGTCCTGTTTTCTTAGCAGGGAGTTGAGTGTGGAAAGCCACCGAGGTCCCGGCACCTTCAAAGGGGTCACCTTCTTCGCCCCAGCGACACCCCTTGAAGGTCTGGAGGTCCGGGTATGTACATTGTGACATGTACGAATGCACTGACCTGGCAGCCTGACCTGGTCTGGGCCAGCCTGGCCTGGCCTGGCAGCCTGGCAGGACCAAACATATTCACTCCCAACAACAATGGAAGTGGATGGCATGGACCGTTGGATGATGTTGGATGACCATTTTCAATATGATGCCTCTCGCTTGGTGGTTTCAACGAAAACGGAACGAGAACAAGAAACGTCAGTGGGATATAGTGGAATCAATCATCCCAAGTAAAGATTGAACATCAAAATGTCTGACACCGCCACCGTCCAGTGGCTCACTCTTTCTTGGACTGTTCTTGAGGGATCAAGCTTCATCCCCGACCCATCTTGGAATGGTAACCATCGGTTGCCAAACAGGCAATTCATGGTCAACGATTCGAAAGTACAGTCACCTTTCAATCGTCCAGATACCTGAACATGTCAGGTTCTGTATTTTGATGGTACTAAAGTCAGCACTGTCATCATGCCGTGCGCACAATGACAATCCACTCGACATATCATTCAAAAACTTGGGGCACAACTCACGATCCTCTTTTAGGAACAGCCACATGCAGGGCATCTATAAATGTATGTCTGCAACAAAAGTTTGACCATGACATGATGTACCGGAAAGTAGGGAACTTCAATACCAAAGCATGATGTTACTACGTGTTTTCTCCTAAATCGCCATAGACTGACTATAATATCTATGTCTTTTGGTGGTTTGACTGGTTGTAACATGTTGTAACCACTGTTGTAAAATTTTCCGTTCATGGAGCATGTCTATCTAACACCTTCCAGTAGAAAAAAAACAAAACACATCTCAGCACAAAAAACACCTGACTGTCAGTGACCGGGCATCTTTGTCAGAACTGGTCCAAACAACTGCAGTGGAATATCGATCAAAGCAAGCAATCCCTAGGGCTCCAACCACCTCCTGAGGTTCGGTGGTTGGGGTGGGTGCCAGGGGGTCTAACCACCAAACCTGAGGAGATGTGTGCCACGAGTCGTAGGGAATCCTCATCACTTATAGAACTGAAGACTATACATATTGATTATTTGTTGGTGACTTGATTTGAGTGTTTTTGTCTTCTTCTTCAGATCTAGCTTCTATCTTTGATTGAGCCATCCAAACAATCCTCTAACTATCTCAGTCTTTCTACATGTCGCAACCCAGGTTCCACGCTCAAAGGGTAGTTAACTATTTGGGGAGGTGTTCCGATCAACAATTATATTAGATTCATTATACATCGTATCCTATAACACATAGAAAAACTATACTAAGTTGGTCAACTCATTTGGGCAAGTCTCTTCTGATTTCATCTGCATCCAATTCTTCCGGTTCTTTCAGATCCGACCCAAACTTCAAACAAAGGTGAAACAGCCGACGCGTTTGCGTCGTGGATGGCTACCAAAGAAGAAACATATTCCCAAGACCCGAGGTGAACCGAAGTTTTCATGGAACTTAAGATCAAGAGTGTAACCAGTGATCTTCTGATTCTTTCCAAACCTCGTTTGATTTTGAACGGAGAAAACACAAAAATTGCGCTTCCACAAAACAGCCGTCCGGAACGCCAGAACGCCGTTGTTTCTACACGCGAGGACAAATCGCGCGTGTTTCACTCCGTTGAGGGCGAGTTCGGCCTGCAGCCCTCGAGGAGGTGGGTCAGAATGATGTCATCCATGGCATGGCCATGGGCTTTCATGTCCTCCGCTGGGAAAACAGGAGCCAGTGAAGTCGACCACCCACTTGGTCGGGTGACCGAGGAGACGAGCGTCAACGGCAGGGAATGAGCTGTGGAAAGCCAGGTGGCTGATCAAGCCTTAAGGCGAGAAATCAGGGATGAACCATGATAAAGCCTTAGCTTTGGTGGTGCTGGCTTGCTGCCAAGGACCACAAGAAGTGGATGCAAGAGCCCCACCATCGAATGTCCATCTGAGAAATGTTAACACGATCCATCAAGTGGCTCTTGACTCTTAAGCATATTATGCATATAGATGATTATCCATGTCAAATCTTAATCAAAAAACAAAAAACATGTCAATAACAAAGGGCACTGTTGGTGGTCCAGTTGTCAACAACAAGTTGAATCCCCCAGAACTCGTCGCACTGTGAACGACGAAACTTATTGTTTTTTTCACAGCTGAGGTTCCTATTGCGTGGCCCTTGGTTCTTACTGCAACCCTGAGATTTTTCGGCCAGTCCACTTCTATTTCATTTCACAAAAAAAGGCACCACAGTTGCACAAGTTTTCAAGGAAACTGATTCCAGATTATACTGCAGCCTCTTGGCCACCAAAGTGGGCCCGTGACTTCCTCCGAAAGCTGCCGCCCTGCCAGATTCTGGGCTTCATTTTTGGGACCATGAAGCTGCAACAGTACATGTTGACCGATAATGGCTCTATTGGATAGTGTTTGAAAAGCCATGTTGGATAATGGCGGCGTTTTGTCGGATATTGCCTCGGATTTCCGAGATGGTCTTTCGTAATGGAGTGTAATGAGTTGCAGCTTTGGACTTTCAGAGAGTGCCTGGCTAGCCTTGAGACTGGGATCACAGGTATAGAACTTTTCTGCAAACAAATGCACATCACTAGTCACATCACTATAGCGTTGCCCATTGCCTAACCTCTTCAAGGTATCTACCAAGTGTTCTGTCTCTATCCGAGGCACTTTCTGCCTCCTGGCACCTCCCCTCTGGAACCCCATTGCTTCTGCTGGCTAGCCTTCTTGAGCCTTTCTGCTACAAGAGAAGATCTGATTGAAAGTGGCATGTCCAGCCAGCTGCATGCATGCTACAGTGGCTTCTCAGCCACCACAAACGCTGCATTGACAATCAATCGAAAAATCAATCCAACCATCATGCAAAGACAATCTTTTTGGTTTTGTGTTCACAGAAAACATCATTATATTTTTTGGTCATGTTCACTCAAAGATTGATTTTTGCCAAACTATATCAGCATTTAATCGATCTTTGTTTTTTCTATCAAGGAGCCTCTGGGTCATCTGCTGAGTAACCTGCTGAGGGAGTGCTGGCACATCCCACCGCCTGGATACTCGCTCCCCATGAAGAAGTCTGCAGCCTCATATGACGGTGCGCTGGGGTTGAGAACATGCACTTCTGCAAATCTTCCGCCGGCATATGTACTCAAACGAAGCCAACTTCACAACGTTCAATCCATCATACCGGATGGCAACATCAATGACACTGCGGACCTCATCCTCGTACACTGCACCATCCACCCTCCGGAATCCGACTCTGTTGAACCGAGCAAAGCAGCATTCCGAGACCTCTCTCACGGCCTTCAAATTCTCCCAACATGACCTGAGACTCAGTGGGAAATCGAAGTCCACTTCGATGACGCAGCGCGCTTGTTCGGCGAACCACTTCTTTCTTGCGCTTCTTGCCACGGTTCTGCTTCTTTCTGCGCTGCTTGTCCCTCCAGGCTTTTTGAAGTTCCTGGGTGACAGGACATGTCAGTCCTCTCTGATGGATCTGCCTTCACCGAGCACACGCAATGACAGGCCGGCTGGTCAGCCCTAGGGATCTCTCTCATCCTCATTGAAGGCCGGCCCACCAACCGATCAACACGCCTGTCACCACGGTGACCCATGGGTTGGGTCCGAGTCCATACTATCCCTGTCCAGAAGTCTTGCCTGACGGCCTGGAACATTTCTCTCTGTTCGTCATGAATCTGCAAAGCTGTAAACAATACCTATAGGCCTATAGGATCATCTCTATAGGATCATCTAGGTGACCCATCTTATAAACTTATAAAACACAGAACACTCGTTAATAAAACATATTATATATATAAAGAACCCTCGTTTCCTCCCGAGATCCTCCACCAGCTCCAAGGCTTTCGCCAAGGCGTTTTGGCCCACCAAGGCCTGGACGGCCACGGACTGGTGGACTGGAGTCGGGTGGACCGGTGGATGGCGAAAAACACATCGAAAAACACCTGTATAAGCTGTACCCTAGGGATCCGGTCGTACCGAACCTCAGAAGGAACCACTTGGACCCTCTAAGCTGGCCACCCCAGTCCCACCGTACCTGAGAAGGTACGACCGGATCCCTAAGGGTAGGAACCTGTATAAACTGTATGTGATATATTCTTTTTTGAAGGAACCAGTATAAGCTGTATAAGGGACCAGTATAAGACATGTGTTATTCCTTTGGAAGAAGGAACCTGTATGAGCTGCAGCAGTCACACCAAATGGATGAGGGTCCCTTCCATGCTCCCAAACTTTCCTAAGAAGGACGCAGGACTTGCCACTGCTCCTGTCATTGTCCAAGTTGAACCACCACATAACGAAACAAACCAAATGTCCACCACCCAGGAATTACAAAGGAGTGGTGGTTAGTCCCTAGGTGAGTGGAAAATGGTCACCTCTACCCTCAAATAAGCAACCCTCCAATATAGACACCCCTTTGGAGCTGCTGGACAGTCCCTTCTCATCCCTCATGACATGTGGCATGATGTTCTGCCCCGGTGCCCTATGTCCAAGCTGACTCGCCACAAGCCGCCACTCATCACCACCCCGCTGAATCCCTGCGGTTCGGGGTCCCAGTGTTTGAAAGGTGGGACATCAAATTATCCTCAAACCCCTGCATGCAAGCACACACACCGCAAAAACCTCATTGCCCAGCATCCACTGAGATGGGCCCACCTTGATGAGCACTGAAAAGAGCACAATGTCTGGGAAACGAACTTGCTGCTTCTTCATCGCCTGATCAAAGCTGGATATAGGCGAATCTCTGATGGGATTCGTTGCTCAAATATTGGAAGTGGCCAAAAGGGGTGTGGAATATGATTCTCTTTACATCTCTTCACAACGGAACTTAAGGGGTGGTCTCCCGTTTCTTTGAGAAGCTTTGAGCAAACCACAGTCGTCCGCTCAAAAGTTCAAAAATGCTGTGGGATTCAGCGCAATGCTTGGGATTCACCTCTGGTGCTATCCTTTTCTGAAATCCTGGGTCACATCTATGATACTGGGTTTCACTCCAACAGACGTGAAGGACATCGAACAGCCAGGAACACGTGCGAGGACGCGAGTTCCTGGAGAGCTCCGGGAAAAAAGGCTCAGCTGGAGTGTGAGCAAGAACTATACAGTAATGACCAGGTCATCATTCCAGTGACCGAACTTGATCCAGTGGTTACTTCACAAACAGAAGCAGAGACTCAAAAGTTCGGTCTGGGAAGGTTCTTGGATTCCCTCACTTTCCCTGGTCAAGGAATACTTCTTTTCCATCTGTTCGTTTTTGCTGGGGACACCAATCCCCTCCAAACAAGAAGTGTTGTGTACGTGGTTTCTATTTCAGGTTATCCACTTTTGGAGAAAAAGCACCCCAGCGGGATGATAGCACCCTCCAAAAGTCCTGGTCAGGTCCGAGAAGGTGAACACCCACTGTTTCTATTCAGAACATGGGAAGCAGGCTTGAGTGGAGTGAAAACTGCCTGTTCATTCCTGCCATCCACGTATCCACCCCTTTTTAGTTCGTGTGCTTCCTTCGTTTCCGTCCGGGGAACAATGCACCAAAAAGCGCACAGCCACAACTGTCCGCTCTCGAAATATACTTTTACTTCTATATATAAATATAATACTATATATTAATATATTAAAAAAACTAAAACTGTACAACTGATGTCTGAGTCAGCTCCATCTTTTCGGAGGAGATACATCTTGTTTCTATATGTTTCTAAGCCATTTCCAGGGCCCAGTGATATGATGGTTAGTACAGCATGTTTAATTTTCTATATCAATAACAAATGACTGTCGTTGATCGACTGTTACAGGCAGTGGGATTCCGACCATTCCGACCCAAGAACAAAGCCCCAAGCGACCAAATCAAAGCCCCTTTGCTTCGCGGCACCTCATAGAGCGCCAAAGCCTTCCAAATGCCACCCGCCTTCACCAAACCTCTGATGAAGAGGTTGCACATGGGAGGTTTCCTGAGCTGCGCAGGAAGCCACTCACTGAACGATTTATCGCTGAAATTGGGATTCCCCCCAAAATGAACTCCAACAGAGAAGCGTAGACTCAAACTCAATCCACTGGGATTGCAATCATCTATTAAGCGGACTGGTCAGCTAGGCAGCTGCAGCTGCTTTTGGAGGTCTTGGTATATAGTGCTACTATAGACCTAACTGGAGAGGTTTGTCGAGAGGTTTGTCCTTGACTCAGAGTGACCTGCGAAGGTCGCCACGGTAGAACATGGTCGCCACAACATAGTAGAGCGACAAACAAGAGACAATAACAGCAAATTTATGACACATGTAGGAAACACATCAGGGATCAAGGACCAGGAAGGGACATATAAGAGACAAAAAAGCTCCTGCCCTTTTGGGAAATAAGAGACATTTAAAAAGACAAATAGGAGCAAATTCATCAAACTACTCATTGCACATGATTGCTCATTCCGCCCTAGGCTCCTTATATAATAAATTAAAACCCAAGGCCCGCCCATATTAGTCTATACTTGTATAATGAGGGTGTTCGCCGCACCAATCGTATTCCCAGTGGCACTTCACGACCACTGGAGATGAGAACATCTCCAATTTGCTGGGCCAGCGCATGGTCGCTTTCCTCAGAAAAGGGACCGCGAGTGGAAGGACACGCCGCAGACTCTGAAGAAAGCCATTGATGAATACATCAAATCATACCTATGGGATATGATGGAATCCTATGGACCTATATGGGATCCTCTGTATGGGATCCTATATGGAATCCTATGGGTACTATGGGATATCATGGCATCCTATGGGTGTGTATTGACATAGGGAGACCGAACCGCAACCGTATCGACCCCCTGGATTCGGGAAATAGACTCAATAGACCAGTCTACTCGGCCAGGAGCGCAGGGGGTCTTCCTGTTAAGATACAAACCTATATATGAATACCACATGAATACCCCGCTGGATCATTCAATGATGGACCTAAAGACGAGCTTCCTCTACAACCCAATGGTTTTCAGGGTTGGGAGAAATACAAAGAGGGCAAATCGCATAGACCTCAACTGTGGCATCGTACACAGTGAGGGGAGTCCCAGGTCCCAGCAGAATCGCGATCTTTCTTCCAACAACATTATGATTATGTTTGATCATGCTTGATCCGAGAAACCAGTGACAAGTGACCGACTTGGGCAAACCAGAATGGCTGGATGAGCCTGGATCGGACATACCGCAAGGTTGACGCGGTTGATTCAATGAACTGTAACGTAACCCCTTGTGATAATATAGTATTACGTCTCCATAGGGGGTTATTATCAACAGCATTCAACAATCAGCATGACACTGCCCAACCTTCTTTCTTCGCACCTTCAACCCTTCAAACGCTTCAATGAATCTTCGGCTGATCATCAGGAATGATCAAAGGATCCCTCTTCAGCCACGAACGGAACAAGGTCGCGGAACCGGGAATGACCGAGACGGGGGTGGCACCCTGGTGCGTTTTCATGTCTGATGCCCTGGCGCGTGTCTAGGTGGCGAAGCGTCACACGTCGTTCCAGCGTCTGAGGCGACATCACCCAAAGGTTGAAGAACCCTATATTATATACCCTGGGAGTCAAAGACTATAAAAATAATGGTCTGACTAGGGGACCTGAAAGGGAACTTCCTTTACTTCAGCCGGTCAAAATATAGTCTTTGGACTTCTAGGGTATAGACTATCATAGACTATCCCATAGGTACTCCAGGTAGCTCGGGTCCTATTGACGGTCACAACAAAAAAAAAACTCTCTTGGCACGGTTGAACCCCGAGCGTCTGCCACGCATGCTTCCATCAATGCTCCCAGCGTGATGTCGTCGGGCTGCAGGCCATGTTCGATCAAGTCGCGGACAGCGTCGAGGCAGCGGGAGCGCATCTGAGCAGCTCCGAAGCCTTTCATGACCTCAAACCCAGACACGACCTGTCTGGGACTGGAAGGGAACGGCGCCCCAGAAAGACCCCTCCTCAAACCAACCCTTTTTTGATCGGCACATATGAGTGGAATCTCTGGGAAAAATAACACCTGTAGAGAATTCGGAAGGGACACCACCTGTCCGGGACCGGCCCATCTGCGAGTGGTGGATTTTCAGGGCGTGAGTACATCGCGGCGATGTGCTGGGTCCGACGTCATGTCCGTCGTTTTCAGGACTGATTCCACACGTTCGCAGCTGCATGAAGAACCCCTTGGTGATTTTTGTGTCTGCAAGGACCCCCTCTGATTCGTCTGATTAACACGGTCTTCGCCGGGAGATGACACATGATGACACGTCTCAAAGTTTGCCAGGGGCACCTACTATGGTAATGGTTGAAGAGCAAATTGCAAGGGAGCGTCAAGGCACATGGGGAAATACGTGTCTTCAAGGACACAAAAGGTTTCATACCCAAAGCAGTTGACCCAGAGCTAAGCACCGCACATGGGTTCATTCTACATTCTACATGAGGTGTCAACGAATATCGACACTTTGATGATCTTTCACTGTCCACAGCTAATTCTATCACTCGGTCTCAAAGACTCTTGCTTTTTTCTGAGTTGAGGCTGCACATGAGTGATATGGCTGATGAAGCCTTCATGCATTTGCCAGACAAGTCACCGTATTGTAGGAGACAATGTCCACCAGCTTATCCTCATTCGTTTGTGAGTGCAAATGTTTTGACCATTGCTGCATTCTTTGCACCACATTGGTTTTGGGAGGCCAAGAAATGGAAGACACTCCCAAAACATCAGTGATGATCAATGCACATATGTGTACATCACCATGGGAAGTCGCATTCGCCTGCCAGTCAGGTGCCTCCCACAGTCGCATCCCACAAACCACCAACTGAAGGGCGGCTTAGGGCCTAGGGTCAAATTCAAGTGATCGCCATGTAGTAATTCTTTTGGGGGTTCTTTTCTACTCCTTCTTCCAGGTGCCAGCGACCGTCTGAGGACTGCCTCAAAAGAGCCTCCTGAAGTATGGTCCAAGGACTCATCGACCTCCACATCGGTTCAGAATGGTCCAGGTATACACTCCCTCCTGGACCTTCAAGGGGTGTCCAATGAAGGTCCCTTAGTAGTGGGCTGAGGCTTCCATTGGTGACCCCTTTGAAGGTGCTGACTGGTTTTTCATCATGGCTGCAGTACCTGGATGGAAACGGCCTCTGAAGCCTCGACCACTGGACCCGAATGACCGAAGGGGTGGGAGAGTTTCCACTACGCGAGAGTGTGCGTTTATTTTTCCAAAGCAATATAGATTTCCAATATGAATTCCAATTCTATACCACATTCAATCCCAAGTCACCTGCTTTCGATAGGTCACTGGACCATACTGCAGCTACTTACTGTGCGGCAAGCTTGAGATATTTGGACATCCTCTCCTTCTCCCAGCCAAACCGCGGAAGTCACGCTCGATCTCGCTCGATCCCATCGGACACACGGTAAAGAGCTCGGTCACAAGTGTCGGGGACGGAAGAAGCTGGTTCATCTTCTTTGGCCCTACCTCTTCTGGTTACTGCAACAGGTCACAGCCCAAAGTGTGACGTCATCCAAGTGTCTTTGGCTGATGTTTCTCGCACCTGAACGTGTGGATGCAGACTTCATGACGGTCGTCTTCAGGACGGAGAAGTTTGTGAAGTCTGTGTGGAATTTGAAGAAAAAAACCTTGAGAAGACCATCTCAAGGTTGTCTTGTGTCTTATGATGTTTTATCAGAGTTCTCTCAAGGTCTTCTTGCGTCTTATAATGTTTATCAGAGTCGACTCTGGTGTGAAAACACCACAGTAATCCACGGTAGGAATCATGTTTGGATGTTCTGGAGGCCCACAAGGTGTTCATCCACAACATGGCTATGCACCACCAAAGAGATGCAATCCAAGAACACTAAGGAAAACACAACACATGACTTGAGAGCATTTAAAAACCAAAAAACGAAAGAAACACACCAACACAAACCAAAGGTTACACATCAAAGCAAATCCTTTGGAGTCTCAGGCGGTCTCCCTTCCATTCCGCGAGGTTTGAGTCTCGGTCTCATACGTAAGACACCCGTGAAAGCCGAAAGCTTTCCTTTCCGTTTCGAAAGAGCTCGGGGGACGACGTGGTGACCTGAAAATTCTAACCTATTAGTCAAATCACAATGGTTCGGTTCAACATCAGTCCAGGAATTCCTAGGAAAACCATCAACCTTGACCACTGCGGCAAACGGGTCTTCCTCACCCGGTGGCTCGCGACCTTATCCTCGCCTGTGGGTCCTCACTTTCAGGAGGAGTTCTGTCTTCGAGAAGTAAGGAGACTTCGTATTGATATGACTGCGTCATGGCACCTGGAGCCCTGAACTCACCCTCCCTGGTAGGTCAAACCTGCCTGCTAGTCTAGTCTATTCTCTTCATTTTCAGTGCTCAACGGGCATGTCCCTGTTTTGACCTCATGGCGATAGCCGGTTTTGACCCTGGTACAGGTGTCGGTGGACCAGCTAAAAGGTAGCTTGAGCAGCTACATGGGACCCAACCCGATGTGGGCCAGGAGCCCCAAACGGAGCAGTGATCTCTTCCCCAAGCGGGGCACTTTGGCATCTTGCAAGAGCTGGTAGGCTCGCTCCGGCTGCTTCTGGTTCACGCAGGTCAGCAACAACCTGGCGAGGTGCACGCACGCGTCGTTGGGGACCCAGAAGGCCCGAGGCCGTGGAACTCACGTGAGTCAGGCCCTGGAAATGGATGCTGGTTCACTACCCAAACACTCCATGGGACTGCCATAGGACTGCCGATCAGGCCAGGGGTGGTGGTGCCAGGGGGGTCAATGTAAACATAAATGGCAGTCCCATGGAGTGTATGGGCCAATGGTGAATGTGTTTCGTGGCGGACGTGAATGGTGGACGTGCCACTCTCCTCCCGTCACCGTGGCAAGAATCTCTCTCTGACCTGGGAGCATCCGTCAGGACCAGGTGAACCAGTTTTTTGCAAACAAGTGCCTTACTAGTAGTAACAAGAAGCTATTAATTTAACTTAAATTTAATTCTAATAGCTTTTTGTTACTACTAGTAAGGCACTTTTTACTATTAGCGTGGCACTTGTTGCTAGTAGCATCCGTCAGGACCAGGTGAACCAGTTTTTTGCACCAGAGCCAGTCGATTCGCTTCCCAGTCGATTCACGGTACATGAACAGTTCTGGTAGAATCATGAACAGTTCCCCTCAACAAAAAATCAAAACGACTTCTAAGACATCTTGAAAGGTTACATGTTTTTACATGTTGTTTACGGTATCCAATTTGGGCTCGCTGTAGGACACCCTAGAGTGACTTGGTGAGCATGTCTGATTACATCTTGCTGAGATCACCATGAAACAGCGAGCTGTTGTTGAACGTAATACTTCTGCCAAACTCCAAGCCCAGAAAGGGTCGTTCATACCTTGTCCCTTGCTTGCTCACTCCCTTGGTGCCTCAGGCGAAACCTTTGTTTGTGAACAGTGCCGAATCTAGGCAAATATCCATCGTTAAAAAAAAATAAACACGCATGTGTGCACAGTCTTGCTGTGGAGGGGAGGGTATGTCCCCTGTGGCGTACTAAGTGCAGCATAGCCAGCAAGAATCAGCTGGGACTGGACAACAATTCATTGTCTTAAGGAGCTTCTTGCTCTTCAGAAAACACGCACCCTTCCTGGACACTCCAGTGCAATGCCAAACATCCGCATAAACATGTGGCTACCACCCTTATATAAATAAAACGGTTTTTGCCTGTGCCTCCAAGATCGATTCTGACAAATGCATCGAATCTCATGAACCATCGGCTCATGCTGCGCCCTCGTTTGGGTGTTACCGCAGCCCTTTACCTCGACAAATCGGGTTCTGCAAATCGCCAGGCGGTCCAGTGCTTAGCCAAGGAACATGTTCAACATCAAGTTGCTCACCTGGCGGGCGGAACAAACAGGAGGGAAGGAAGCTCACCTGGACCGTGAAACCTTCAACTTTCATGCGTGGCGATGCATTGCAGAACCTCCAAAATAATTCAAAAACTTGGGGCCGGGGGTTGGTGACGAAAGCTGGCTGCATCAAATCATATGGCCTTAAAACGGACCAAAAACACTCGGCTAAAAATTGGGAGGCCAGACATCCTGTCAAGCCTTAGGTCCGACCATTCCATCGCTGAACATGTCCATTGAGGTCCGACCTTTATGGGATATCATGGGATCAGACTTGGAGTTGCTGATTCGGACACCAGGAAAACAATAAAACTCTTCCCCCATGCCAGGGGATGAACATCCAGGCACCATGAACACAACATGAAAATTAATCCCATCCTCCTAATAATAAACACGGCCCCCCCCCCTATTAAAAAAACCTCGGTCGCATTTTTTCTAATAGGGGGTCCCTGAAATCGGGGGGGGGCAAAATAGGGTCACCTGGAAAGAGTTTCAAAACCAACAAGTAATCCAGGAAAACTTTATATAAAATCCTTTATTAAACTCGTATCAAAAATGCAAAAAACCGCCAGATCGAAGGGTCTTCCTTTTCCCCTACAAAAACCTTCATTAGAATGGTGATTCTTCAGTAGACTAACAGCTAAAGCTTTCGAAAGGTGATGTCGCTGTGCCATGCGGTGTTGCATGACCTCGGTGGCAAGTGCGTTTGCGTGAGTCCGTGCCATTGAGGGAAGGAAAGCCTGCTGGTGTAAGCGCGGCGTGTCATGGTGGAGTTTTGGGGAACCTAATTAAAAAAAACTACCCCCAAAATCGACCGTGTTGGTAGTTTAGTAGCGGTTTGAAAGGGCGGCAATTTAAAACCAAATATAAACCGAATTTAGGGGTTCGGACGTGGTGTTTTTTTAATTGGGGAGTGTTTATTAATAGGTACTCGGGATTACATCACCCGCGACTGGTCAGTGAAACATAAAAAAACCTATCATGATCATGCGAACTCCCTTCTTCTAAAAAGACCCGAGAACCGCTCCGGATGTGCCCAGTGGATCGGCCCTTGAGCGCCGCACCCCCCCCCCGCTTCGCTTGGCTGGAGCGAGACGAAACGAGGGAGATCCCTGGGCCCCTGGGTAGACCGGTCTACTTCCCTTCTTGCAGGTTGTCTTGCGATCTCCCGATGGTTTGGTCGGCCTGTACACACCCTAACCAACATCGCTGAGTGTGAAGCATGTCGGTTTCTGCCTGAAGATGTGCAACGGACAAAGAGTCTGGATGTTCAGTTCGCTTCCACTGACCCTCCGTAGCTTCCAAGCATCCAACCCTCCAGGCATGGCACCAGGTATACCTTCACGCTCTCTCTCTCTCTCTCCCCACCTGACCCCCCCTCAGTTTCCCTGGAAAAAACAACGGTTTAATCCTTGTTCCACCTGGTCGACTTATGGGTGGTTTCCCCAATCCAGCAAGAAAAGGTTGGGGTTAAATGAGGTTTTTGAAGGATCTTCTGGCTTTTCCTGGGTAGGTTACAGTAGGTTAAATGGTTTAATGGGGTTTAAGATGGTAGGTTACCGTTATTACCCATCTTCCCCACGCCAAAGGCACCGGTCTCGCCTCATCGCCCAGCCGGTGAAAGAGCTGCTCCGCCGCATCGGCGGAGTTCAGCTGCACGTAGCCTCGGGCGAAGGCGGAAGGCGCCAAAACGACCTATGTGGATCCCAGGGAATTCCACCAATGTATGGAATATATATATATACCCTAGGGATCCAAGTACCTTCTCAGGTACGGTGTTTGGGGTGGCTGTGGAGGGTCCAAGTGCCTTCTGAGAAGGTACTTGGATCCCTAGGGATATATAGATTGGGATGGTTTCAGGAGTGATTCTATTGTAGGTACCCCAGCAAGTCCAAAGGACGGGTGAAACTGGTGCGTTAGCGTAAAGGACACATTTCAATTCACCTCCCAACTTCCAAGAAATAATGTGCACATGTTTTTCACAGCCTTTCACCCTGTTTTCACGGGCTTTTCACGGGGTTTTCACCTCCTTTTCACGGTTTTTTTCATGGCCTTTTCAAGCTTCCAGCTCCCGTTTTGCTAAAGCACCGGTTAAACCGGTGCGTTACTAAAGAACTGGTTAAACTGGTGCGTTGACCCACTGGGCACAGTAAATATATATGCCAGTCCCACAGGTCGTGTCTGGGATTGATACATAAGGAACCCAGATTTGGACATTTACGGCCTAATTATGGCGTTCACGGCTTTTGTCTTTGGAATCAATGGTGACTTAATAATATTCATATGGCAACTTGATTCACTGGGAAGGCCCATCAATTCGCTTTCTTAAAGTTAGGAATGTTCCATGGATGGTCTGAGACCTGGTGTGCATCCCAGCAAGCCGAACTGGATGAGCCAAGGATTGCGAATGGGGTCCCCACCGTTGAAGGAGCTCAAATCACAGCACTCAACAAGAACATGGCCCGGGAAAAAACAATACAACAACAACACTGGCTTGGCATATGAATGAAATCATATAGATCACCGAGCCAGGACTTGGGTAGTCTTCATGTGAACAAAAAACATATTGTGAACCACATCAACAGCCGGGCGGTCATTGTCGGTCATGCTCCCCAATGACCGCCGGTCATGCTCGGTCAATTTCCTGTTACCTGGGGTACCCAACTGGGAAGAAATGCCTATAGATGTCTGGGTTCTTCAACCTCTGCTGGGATAACAAGACATCTTTTGGGATTGGGGAGTGGGAACACCAACCAAGTGTCATCCTACCCCGCCGCAACTGGCTCCCAAGATCTGACCCCCAATAGACTCCCTGAAAATCATGGTGAACCTCCAGGTCTTCACCACCTTTTCGAATCTTCGGAGATCAGAATTCTCAGAATCCTCCTTTCTCCAATGGTCACCTGTGTGAAGCTCCTTTGATCTAGCTCCGCTCCTCACAGGTCGCAGCTCCTCGCGCGTCGGCGCATCGGTCCCAGGCGCATCGGAAGTGCAAAATGTGATCCTTGGGACTCAGCGAGGCCTGGCGCAGTCGACTCAGCGCGGGATGGCGTCGAACGGAGGAACCCCCAGTCTTGGTGGAGGGATCCAGTTGTACCAAACCTCAGGTACGGTGATTGGAGGCACTGTTGTGTAGGTTTGGAGGGTCCAAGTATATACCTTCTGAGAAGGTACGACTGGATCCGGCGAAACGGACTTCTGGGGCGGCCGGTGAAGGGACCGGAGACGGAGTTCGGAAGGCACAGGGATGGGAGTTTGGAGACAGGGAAGCGGAAGCATCGGAGGAATGAGAATCACTGGATTCCACCGGGCAATCTGCACTGGGATTGTCCGGAACATGGATGAACAGGATACCTTCTTGTTGTCCTGCACTTTTGTCCTGTAATACTTGCCACGCAAACGGGTCAAATGAAGAAGAATGAACATCTGAGCTGGATCAGTTTATGACAAGACTAGGGCAACCTGCAGGCTCCCGTGATCAGGGTCTGGCTCCAGTGATCAGGGAATTTTTGATGGGTGAGCACTTGGTCGCCAAGTGTGACAGAGTCTGAAGATCTCCGAGGTTTCCCCATCATCACGCTCAAATGATGAAGATATTTTTATTTGGGATCCCGAAAATCCCGAGGTTCCAACTGAAAGGTTGTTGTGTGAGGTTGGGTGGTTGAGTCAGATTGGACTTGGGTGAAGCATGCTACCATGATTGGGGTGAGCCAAGCAACTGATAAATATGCTAGGCTACACTCTTCCTTTCTTGATACAATTGGCAATTCATGGCCAAGACCAGTCAAATCGCCTCCAAATCCCTGTGCAAAAGACCAGCCAACCAAAAACACATAATTATAGATCATATAGCCAGGATGGTCCTGAGAGGTCCAGGATGGTCCGGGGAGGTCCAGGATGGTCCGTCCAGGATGGTCCGGGGATGGTCCTGAGAGGTCCAGGATGGTCCGGAGAGGTCCTGGATGGTCCGTCCAGGATGGTCGTAAGAGGTCCAGGATGATCCTAAGCAGTCATTGCTCTTTTTGTTGACAGGCTGTGAGTCAAAACAGGGGAACCTTGGTTGACCAGAGAAAATGAACCGAATGGACTACCTGGGAGGTCAACCGGGCCCCTGGTTTGGAGATCCGGACTTTGACACATATTTTCCGAAACTGGCAGCCACAAACGAATAAGTAGGTTGAGTATTCCTGCTATGTTATTCGTGGCGCAGCTTAGTTGCCTGCGCCCTGTAATCAAAGTAGCAAACACACACTTAGATAAATGTTCGCAAGAGCTAAGTCGGTGAATGAAGTTCCACTTTACATTCATTAGCCCCTGACTTGATGGAACGGAAAGGTGCTGGAACGGAATGGTGGCTGAGTCAGCGAATTTGAAGGTGATTGAACAAATGGGTTTCAAATCGCACGGCTGCAAAAGGTTAAACATCAAGCAGGTACACAGAGCTGGTCAGGCTCTGCTTCCAGCACAAGTGGATTGCTTCGTTGGGTGCAGTCTTGACTGTGCTCTGCACCCCCCTGCCTCTTTTTTGGGAAAAATGCAACATCCCCTGCAGTTAAAAATTGGTTTTAGATACTTGACAATGTGTGCAGCCTTAGAAACAGGCTTTGACACACACTCTGACATTGGTTTTCAGTTAGCTCAGTTCCCAAGCTGAAAAGGATGGTGAGGGAACGGAAAGGTGCATGAGTCCGCAAAACAGTATTGTTGAACATCTTGTTGAAATGCACTCGCAAGCGGTCAGCGCGCGGCAGTTGAAAGCGGCGGAGGGGAATGGTTTGGGGGAAGTATCGTGGAACCACCATGGAAGCAAACAAGAGAGATTGGAACAGCGTGGGCAAAAGTCTAAACCTGTTGCAGGTGGCTATCTCCTTTCACAGGACCCAACACAAACCGAATCAACCATCATAATCAGATCATGATCATGATCATGATCATGATGATGATCATCATCATCATCACCATCAGCAGCAGCATCAGCAGCAGCATCATCAGCAGCAGCATCAGCAAGTAACGAAAGCACAACCCCGAACCGCCTGGCTATACTTCTCCAGAAGTGCTTCCAGCCGCGATTCCGCGTTCAGCTCCAGAGCAGCATTGATCAAACCTGGAGAGACCAGGCGAGACTGCACGAGACGATGCCTGGAGACCAACAACAAGTGATTGAACATGATAACCTGTGCAGTCAACACTATATGTGAGTTGTAATTTGCAATGTTGAATGTGTGTTGGATCAAATCAAAGCCCATATTGCTAGAAATGCATAGCAAATTGACAAGCATTCCTTGCATCGTGACAGTTGAAATAAGCACTAAATTGGTCAATGTAAGTGTTAAACATATTTGATAACCCTAAGAATATTGTGAACATCGCGCAACCAATTGGAATAATCCAAACAACTTGTGAACATACTGTCATATAGATTTGAACCAGTGCCATGTGCTTCGCCACTGACAACCAATAAAAATACCGTTTTCACTGCACATGCCTATGCCATGTGCTTTGAAGAGGTTCTAAACAGTGCCAACAACGAAACAAAGCATTGGACGAACCCACCCTCAGTGGACATGATTCACAATAATTAGATGTACTGTCATACATATACCTTTGCGTCAAACATGAAACAAACAGTACACAACTTCTTTATGGTCTATACTTCTCTGAAGCAAATTAAATGCAATCATTTTACCACAAGACCTCAGGAGAAACCTCAAAAATGGCCAACAAACTTCGAGAGTGATGTGTATACATGTCACATGCTACTAGGCCCTCGCAGGCCAGCGCTGCGACCCTGTTCGGCACTGTCCGAAGGCGATTTCTCGTTTGTTTGAAGAACCCTTAACCAATGGGACAACTTCAGTGTGACCCGTGTGCATCTGCTACAGTCGCAAGTTGTGAATTCTATGCCTATTAGACCTTTTGTGCCCGAAAAACGACACAGTGAACTTCTAGACCTCTTTGTCAGACTTCTCGGCTGCAAAGAGGATTCTGTTGCAATGAATATCAATGAACGCATCTGCATCTCTAGGCTTTTGAAGCTGTGCAAGCCATGCTGTCGTGTTCGGAAGCCATCCGAAGCAGGCACAAGTGTGAGGGGTTTCCACCAGCAATTGGCCTGCACTTGATCCTAAGTCACTGAATCTAGATGTGATTCAAAACAACTTTCAAAAGAACTTTAATTCAATAGAAAACCATCCAATTTCACCCAAACATGGACTCTCATTCCAGCGAACTTCGGTCCAACCATCATCCAAAACCATGCGGAGAAAAGAAACACGCCTTCCACCTCGGAGATTTCTGGAAGAAACGTCCCGCCGTCAGTCGATCCGAGCCACAGGAAAAGATCACCTTGTCCACAGGCATGTCATGCCTGATCAGACGGCACCGAGGGCTGACTCCTGTCGTTCGCTCCCAACATCTCCCAACGAACTCCACTTGTTCGAAGTGAGGAAAGCCGTGGACAGCAAAAAGGTTACAAGGATGTTAAAGGATGTTGAAGGTGATACGCTTTTCCTGGGTAGGGACGCATGGGTTGCTTGGTACATGTGAGACTCTGAGACTGACGAGTCATGCCGCAGTCCAGGCTGGTCCGGGAAGCAGTGACAGCCTTTGAAGTTGACTGGAACTTGGGTTGATTCAGGAAGATTCCGATTCCACGTGTGAATCACCACAAAAAGGCTGGTTCCAGGTTGTAAATCTGTGCCAGTTACCACCTACCTTTTACAACCATGCAGCGCATGCAGTATACTTTACTATAGTGGTTCCATGTGGTTCCACCAGTTACGACTCTATATAAGGTCACCAGTGGTGAAAGAAGAAAGAAACGCACCGACCCTCTGGTCACCGACATTCCAGATGGTGACCAGAAAGTCCTGGATGTGGCAAATGCCAACTGGAGAGGGGGATGTTTTTTGTTTGGTCCCCATATATGTCCCCATATGTATACCTAGAACCCATATGACCCTCGTTTTGATAGGTAAAAACCATGTTTTGACTCCAAAACAGGGGTCACTCAGGTTCTAGGTATATAGTATACCGCCATAGTCCTCCTTCATCTACTTAGGCGTTGGATCGTTTGGGGTTCACCATGTTTGTTCACCAATCGACCTGGACCACGAGATCGGCCTTCGAACGGAGCGATTGGACGCTACGAACGGGGCTCCTGGCACTACGAACGGAGCAAGGAAGCTACTAGGAGCTTTTCTTTCAAAAAAACAATACATCGTACATCCAACATCATCCAAGGTACCATGAATTCAGGCTGAATTCCGAATACAACCATATACAACCATTGTGTCAAAACCTTAAGTCGACCATTTTGTTCATTGTCTTGGAAAGCTAGGGTCAAAAAAAAGACTTGACTGGCAAGTTCTGTTTCAAACCAAGCCATTCCCCTGTTCAAATGGAGAATCCCCCGGGAATGGCATATTTAATCATACTTACATACATACATGGAGTGACCTCTATTTTCAGACCACAAACCACCATCTAAGATGGTCTTTTTCTATCAAACCAAAGGTCAAATGGGCTCCACATAGTTATCTACGGTATCTGCAGTACATTGGGGTGGTTGAAAAGGGAACCATGCAGGCATATATACCAGTCTCATGGGGTGTCTGAAAACAACCTGCTGTCAGCTGGCTCGAAGATGCTGTACGCCAACAAGCAAAGGCTGAAGTGTTTTCTGCCTCAGCTGCCCGCCCTCCACGGCTACTGCCCCCACTCACGGCTCTGTTGGTGCTAAACACGTTGAAAACATGAAAAACCACGAGTTGTTCGTGCCAAAGGGGTGCCTACTGGAGGGTAAAGGACTCACTTGTTGACACAAATAACACCCAATCTTTGACTCATGGCATACCCAATCTTGCATGGCACACTTGACCAATCTTGCACCACCGGATTTTTGCTAGCCTTTTGGGCTTTCTTCAATCTGTGATCATGGTCGCTTAGAGATCAACTTAGATCCTCAAGAGGGTCTAAGCATGTCCATTTGGTCTGCTGCCTCCGGCTGCAACTTGGCTGCTGCTCTGGGTATGGCTCAGCATATGTACTCTGGTCACCCATACACAAACCCGCGTCGACCACAAAAACCACGGAATCGACGACTGCGTGAATTCTTCGACTTCCACCGAGACGACGCAAGCCATCATTGACACCGCTGCCAGTGGAGGGAACTGAAAGAGGTCAAAATCTGAGCACCTCTCCATGAACCCAAAGCCCAGTCATGCCCAGTCACTGGACATGAGCTTCAGGGTTTGCTGCCAAAACCTGCAAGAATCCCGATCCATCTGGCCGTCGACCGGAGGGTTGTCCCCCCCATTTCATGACCCTTTCCGGCTTCTTTCTCAGTCAATCACTGAAAACGATGCAACTCTTCGAAGTGGATTGATAACTGTTAAATCAGGGTTGCATGATAAACCAGGGTTGCATGGAAGTGCCCCTGTTTGTAGAGGAGGATGGTCTTTGCAGGGGCCATGCCATCAACTTCCGCAATCAGTTAATAAATGTTAATAACACATCAGGGTTCTTTAAGTGTCTGAAGTGAATTGACATCAGAATTCGGCACCAACCCGTTGGAGTTAAACCTGGTAGTGCATGACCCGGACTGATGTGGCTGATGTCAAAACATAAACTGAACCCAAGAAGAAATCTGAAGATGATCACTTGAAACACGCAGGAAAAACCCGAAAGGCACTGAAAGACGGGCTTTCTGGATGCAAACATCAAAAAGACTGGGGCTTTTATCCGCTCGTCCCTGTGCTCTTTTGCTAGCATGCCAGTCGGACATGGGGCCGATCTTCAGAGGACCTTGGAACCCGTCTGCAGGGAGAATAGGATTCTTGCACCTTCTTGCTACGCTACAGCTACTGAAGCTCTAATGGGCTAGTCCCTTCTTGTAGGAGCTGAGTCCTTCTAATTTTCTCCTGACTGCCAAAAGAACTTGCAATTTCTGCAACCTAACATCCCCATCTATTGTCATTTGCAGCACCATGTTTGACTTCTTATCAGGTCAGTGCTCGTCATGAATGGCTTCCAGCCCGGGCAATTCGGTGTCTGTATCTTTTATTCGTGGGTCGAGAAGAACTCTTCCATTGGCAAATTTGCCACTCTTCGTAGGTTGAGGGTGTGAAACTCCCCCAAGGAGCCCAATCACCCTGATCTCTAATTCTTGAGAGCAAGGACTTAGCCTGTGTCTCATGAACTTGGGGGCCATGCAAGCTAGTACCTTTACTCAAAGGCAGGCTTGTCCACCATCATTTCAACACGTCAGGCCAAATGCCCAGGTTGACGCTTGACGAAGCGTGTTGAACCAGCATGTCATACTTCAAGAAAAATATGCTGGGTTGATCTGAGGTCTATCCTGCACCAGTCATCTCAGAGAGACTCTATGAACTTCATGGACGAGACGAAAGAGTCTCTCTAAGAGAAAGACACCACGCCAACCTTCACCTCAAAGCTCGGTATCAATGGGAGACCACAAAAACTGAAAGAAGTGTCCATGGAACTATCATGGAACTAGCATATCGCGGGAAACAAACCACGAAACCTATCATCCTTTATTTGAAATAACAACAAAACGCAAAACTCAAGAACATGGTCATGCAACAAAGATCCCGTGCTTTCGTCACTGCTAAAAACAACTTCCACCAGCACCAGTAAGAAGATCACCCAACAACTGCCAAGTTGTAAGATCCCCAAACTTCGACCCCGTTTTGAGGACAGACTGGACCTGGAGGAGGATCTTCAGGATCAACCAGGACCTGGCAACTGTTTATTCAACCTGGTGTTTTACTGGACCTGGACCTCACTTCTCAATCAGGGTTTTGAGGAAAAACAAGACTCGGACCTGGAGGATTCTGTATCCTATATGGCCATAATTCTAAAGCGAGATCCCTTCATCAAAGAGCCACGCAGTCCTCGGCCATGTTGCCAAGCTTCTCCTTCGAAGGAGCTTCCTTCCTTGCTCGTTTCAAGCTCCGGAGCATGCGCTCGACCACGTCCACCTAACGAAGTTCCACCGGCGCTGGACAAAAAACGGCCGCACCGGAGAATCTGGGAATCCCGTGAGCATCGCGGGGTTCGATGTGCCTTTTGCTCCCGGAGTTACATGGAAGGGGTGGTCAAAGACTGGCGCAGGTTGAACCGGAAGTCACCCTGGTAGGTTGACCTCCTTTAGAGTTGTGCATGTTTGCTGCTCCACCGGAATCCCCAGATTTGACCCAGAGCATCCGCCATTTTGTCCCCAATTGAGGAGAACCGGCACTCCAAGACTAGCTCCCCAACTTGGAACTGCTGGTTTCTTCATACGCACATTGGCAATCCCCCGAATTGTTTACCACCTTGGACGCGAGATTTTTTATCGATTCACCTCCAAAAAGGCAGGGGTAATTATGCAGGTGTACAATTCCTGGAGGGGTATCCAGCAGTGGCATAGTCCTTGTCAGGCTGACCTGCGAAAAATTCGCACCACTCATTGTGGAAACAACGGTCTGCACTCCTCTCCAACAGGTTCCACATACTTTGAATTCACCGCGCTCAAAATAGAAAGTGGCACGCATCACGGTTTAGGTCCCAGTTTCGGTTCAATACGGGGTACCCTTGTGCTTGCTTTTGAACTTAGAAAAAACTTGTGTCCCGAGTCCCAAAACAACAAAAATGACCAACATAAAACCAAAACAACGTTGAGTTGGGAACGCCAGGTGGAGCTCATGTCACATCAGAAAACCACATGCGTTCATCCACTGATGCAGCGCTTCGTCCATAAGCATTATGTTTGGAAACCAGACTGCAGGCTTCTACCAGGACCTTCAAAGTGACCTTTTGAGATCCCAAACTGAGGTCACTTAGTCCCTAAAGAGGTCACTTAGGACTTGACAAGGTCACTTGAAGCTCCTGGTAGGTTTCTTTGTTCGGAAACCACTGTTGGGGGCATCGCTGATTGTTCTCAAATGGTCTTGTTGGGGGTCTGGTTTTCAGCCTTCCTCGCCTTGTCGCGACGCCACCCCGCCTTGTTCACACGGATCCCTGACTGCACGAAGCAGCCGAAGAGCTCCTGCAAATGAGCAGCCCCCGACCATCCCATCGATGCATGGAATAATTAACTACATATTTAAGAGGGTTTAAAATTTACCGATTTACCCCATGAAAATGACCCCAATGTAGGTAACTATTCCGGTCCCATGGATGGTGTGGGGACTGTCACATGCGCGGCAGTGCGCTCCGGAGCGGGTGTTGCGGCCGAAAGGACGACTTGATTCTGACACGCAATCACATGAAATACGGCAGCAATCATGACCCGGTCACGAACAGGAATGACTACCAAAGGATTCGATTTTCTTTTAATTATGACCCTGCACCAAATTTGTTCCAGGCGTTGAAGTAGTGTCACTGGCAGCCTTACTCAAAAACTGAATTCCAAGACTGAATCCACAAGTGTTTTTGCATCCAGTAGCTCTGCCATTGCCGGGATGCCCGGGCCGGGCAACCCGGCGGCAATGATATGTTGAAACGAATGCATTTTTTGATTACATGTGTTTTTTTAAAAGTTTCTTTCTTCTATAATCAATGCGTTCATTTGTTCAATGTGATTCCCTCTTAATAACGTCAATCAAGATTTTGAAGGTTATTACGAATCTCAATGGCAATCCTAGTCACACAGGCACGGTGGCCAAATAGGTTCAGGACTTAATCCCAAAACTTTGTGCGCGTTACTAATAATAATTTTGTTTGTTATTAAATTTGGCGCTTGCATTTTCACGCAACATTAGTAGTATCATTGATACTGCCAGGATCCTGGCGGCGATAGTGCGTCAAACAAAAGCATTGACTCATTATTTTTGTTGTAAAAAACGTGACTCATTTATGATCCCCCTTGGTTGTCCCGGGGACCCTCAGCCCCTAGATTTTATAAAAATCCCTGGGGGAATGCAACTTCCAAATGTTTATGAAATCCTGTAGCGAGGGTCGCCGTCATGAAGCGCAAATTTTTATATTTTCCTTGTGGTTGAGGTCCATCATGCATGGGTACATGACAACGAAATCCCTAGGAATGCCAACCAGGAGTATTTATATTTTCCTGATCTTAAGGACGGACAGTCAAACGTTTTTTTCTTTCGCGGACACTGAAGCTCTTGTGACCGCTGTGCACATTCACACAGCGGGAAAATCACAAAGTGGAGCTTTCAGCCAAGTCCATGGCGGCAATCACAGGAATCTCCTTCAGGAGTTTGATGAATGCCTTGGATCGGAGCCGATGTCAAACGTTTGGGGAAGGAACGGATAGGATTTTGAAAACGTCAAATATGTCTATTCAACATGAGCAAGTTTCTGTCTCGTCGATCAACTGCAAAAACCAGTTGAGAATACAGGAACTGGAAAAGTCCGACTAAATAAAAAATGTGTTTGAAGATGTTCCGGTTGCCCTCTTCTGCGGTGGGCTGCTTTGCAAAAGCTTGGCCACCTCTGTGAAGCGTTTGAACACTAGGCCACTGCGTTCTGACTTCTTGAAAGACTTGAACAAGTTCGCGAAGTAGCTCGGAGCACGCCGATTCAAATCGGTGAGCCGGGTTGGCTTCTGCATGAACGTCACGTACCCATCTTTGTCCACGATGTCTTCATTTGGAAAGGAGCTAAGGAAGATCTGGTGCAGGTCGTTCATGGCCTCCATGATGTTGACAGACTAGACCACTGCTGCTTCAGGTATTTCCGTGTTTCCTGTTCAGTTCTTAGAACGCCACAAAGACTGCAACACAGTCCAGGGGCACTCCATGATCAACCACCTTCGCGTTCGCGACGCAGCTGTGGTTCAGCAGTGCCATCATCTCCGGTGACACATTGATCACAGTGCCTTCAGCCACATGGCCTGTAGCAAACAGGCCACGGCCCAGCACCTCTGTGGACAGTGCCACAAGCATTGCGTTTGAGCCCAGGAAATGCTCAATGGAAGGCTCCAGGAATGTCCACAGAGGTCATTCTAAAATCCTGTGACCACGACACACATAATTGATTATAGAATCCTGTGTCTATTCTGCTTATGAAATCCTGTGCGAATCCTATGTTTCCAGGCTGTTCCCTTTATATTTTCCTGTAAGGTACGTTAGGCCTTGCAACACAAAGAGCCCAAAAATTTATATAAAAACGGGGATGACCCACAGGAAAAAATAAAGGGATAACAGACGGGGATATTTATGTCACCCACCAAATGCAAAATGTCGAGAGTACCAACCAAAAGAACCAGCGCAGAGCTGGCAGCATTCCACCAAGTTCGAAGATGGTCAGAACCATCAGGTCTTGTCATGGCGATTTGCCAGCGCGGTATGGCCAAGTGTTTTGCTCGCAAAACTGGCCCCTAAATACCGTGTTCCCTAAGAGCCGTTCATGGCATGCTGGAAGATCACTCAGAGATCCCCAATGTCAGCTTCAACCCATGTTCTGGAGGGATCACCCAGCGCTGCTTCAGGTGCACTGCTGGCTTGATGCCAGTCAAACCTTGCTTCGCCCAGTGTGCCAAATGAGAGCGCAAACAGCTGGATCCCAACAGTCGCCTGGAAGAAAAGCGGCCAAGGTTGCAGCGTTTTAAAGTTTTGTTTCGAGCCAGGTGCTGCCACAGTTGCTCGCTCAGCTCGCCAGGCAACTTCGTGCTCCATTTCGACTTGAAAGTCTCCAGTTCCATGAGGTCGTCCTTCAACTTGTGGTATTGCAGCACAGCCGTCTCTGGCCGGGGCAACGCCTTTCTGCTTCTCCATGATGGAAAACAAGGTTTGGCAGGTGTTCTCCAACAAAACGACGTCGTCTGAAGAGGTGAATTTCCACACAAGGTCCAAATTTTTAAGCTCTGTCAAATCACCGTCCCACGCTGCATGGGCCAGCGCGCACTGCATGGTGCAGAAAAGAGCTGTTTCAATGACTCCAGATTGGGCGAAGAATAATAAGCAGCGCAAAACAATCATTGCAAAAGAGGTCACGAAGTCAAGTCCCACAGTCGAGTTCCTCAAGAAATGCACCTGGTTGATTCTTTCCGTTCTACGTTTTTGGACGCTACTGCGATCTTGGTATCTGAAATTTAGATGTCGAGATCACAGCAGTTTGCCAGAACTGCTTTCTGTGAAACACTTTCCGCTGCCATCTCCTGGCCGGATTTTGAGACGTCCAGATTAGAGCAGGATGCGTTTTTCATACAGAGATCAGCAGCTCGCCAGAGCTTCTGCGACCTTGGTGTCTCAAAATGAGATGTCGAGATCACAGCAGAAAGTATTTTGTACGGACCACGCTTCCACCCTTGGAGCAACTACGCCATACGTCCCCACAGAGGACACATCTTTCGCTGCTTCTGCAGCGGCCGAGCCAGTGCCTGTGGAGCTGGTATAGTTGCTGAGGGTAGCGATAGCCTAGTCCATAGTAGTTGGAGGGCGGGTAGCCAGGCCACCACCCTGAAGTTGGATGACTGCTTGGAAGTGCCAGTTCCTGGTGCAGACGAAGAGTGCCAGGTGACTTCCAAGCGATTCTTGCCGCATCAAAGCTTCCAATAATTTCACTTTATGGCGGCAGGGGCAGCTAATTTTGATGATCTGCCGTGCGTCTTCTCAGCCCGCCTATTACTTTGGCAAGGCGGCCAGGTCAGGGGCCAGCATGGTAACTTGGCAATCACCGCATTCATTTTGAATCCAACGCTCTAAATGCACTTCGGCATCCATCAGGGAGACAAGGGTGCAGGAGAACAGCGCACTGTGCGGGCCATCAGTGTTCTTGAACAGCTTGTCCTGGAAGTCATCGGCTGCTCGAACTTCATCTGACAGCTCGGACAACTTCTCTTGCATGGCCAGCTAGGCGATGTCCATTTGGAAACGGCTTGCCCAAGGGTGGTCTATGAACTCCACCTGGTCCTCCGCGGCAATCCTCCAACAAATCAAGTAAGAGCAAGTCTGCGCCAAGCCCATGGACTCCAGCCAGCCCTCTTTGTTCTGGACGAAGCGGGCGCAGTTCTTCAGATTCTCAAACTCAAAGGCTACTTTGCAAGGACGCAAGCGGGTGGGCTGTTGGGAGCAGCTTGCCGGAAGCATCAGCAGCGCCAGTTGGAGACTGGGGAAGCCATTACACTCACGGCTTGGACAACTTGCTACACGTAAACCCATGCTGAATGAGCCAGCAGCTTTTGTGTTCAAAGCATCTCCCAGTGGGATTTCACTCCCACTTCCAGGATTGGCTTTGGGCATTGGAGATGGTACCTTTGGAGGTGGTCTGTTTGGAGGTGTACGGGGGCAATCCTGGCAAAAACAGTGCCACCCGAGCCAGCTGGAAAGCCCATGCCACCCTGTGAGCCAACTGGATAGCCCTGGTTTTCAAAGACCAGCTGCGCGCCGCGCGCGAGGGGCATGGCGCTCAACGAGATGCTTCCGTGCCCGCCTGTTCTCCTTTCGTGACCTTCCAGCGGTATCCGAAACTCAGCCTCATGTCTTCGCACCTGGAGATGCACGCGCGCATGCGGCTCCAAGCGTTCGAGGCATTTGGGCTGCAAAGGACAAATAGCCAGTGATGAATCTACTCACGTCGTCCAAGGTCAGCGGCGTGCCAACATATCCAGTAATGGAGCTGGATCCAGCTCCAGAACCCTGCGGAGAGTCCAGGCTCAGATCCTCCCTGACTGAAGACGTCGTTCCAACTCTGATCCTTTCTGCCAGCACTCACGTGTGGAGCCATCTTTCAAAGGCTTTGTCTTCATGGTTCTTGACGACTCGTGAACGAACCCCCTCGCTGAAGGAGAGATCTGCACCACAGCAGACAGCCACTCGATAGGTCCCGCAGCGCCGTGGCCAAGAATGCTGTTCCACGCCCAGCGATCCTCCTCCTCCATATTGTCAATCACGATGGCATTCATCACAGATCGCGGCTGCGAGAAAGTGAAGCCTGCGCCGGCTGAAATTCATGTTCTACTGCAAGTTCTTCTTTCATCAAATTCACACGCCCTCTGAGACACCAACAAATGTACACGGACATGCATACACAAACACACGCCAACAGGAAAAGAAGTCCAACAGGCGTGACGCGCCATACAACACCCAAAAAGAACACACAGACTCAGACATACACACGACAAGTCCCACAAGCACTCACGCTGGAGCACACGATGCAGCCCACGGAGACATCCGGAGCGACGGCAGGCAAAGCAGCGTAATTTGGGGGTGGAAAATGTGACCAGCAGCTTTTGCTCCAGGAACATCCACCAACTGTCCTTTCGTACCCTTCCTTTCGCACCATGGCATTTGGTCTGAAAAAGAAGAACGATCTCCTCGGTGAAGAAGGCTTCCAGGTTCCAGCGCTCCGTCCGGCGATACCTTGAATCCAGGAATTCAGATGAATTGATGTTCATCGGAATTGAAAAGGGTCATAATCTTAGATTAGCTTATCGAGAAAAATCATAGTACATATTTCCCCAGAAGGGGCTTCACCCAGTTTGGGAAAATAACCAAATCATTCTCAGCAAAACCACGGTGAAACCCGTGGAGTGGAAAACCCACCGGTCATCCAAGTGTTCGGAGCCATGGCCGGTTATCCGAGTGTTCGGAGCCATGCGCATGTCTCCATGGAGCGGCCCATGACAAGGATCTCCTGAACCTCGCAGTCACAAGGTTGGCCAAGCCCGCCAACCCCTTAAGTCATGGAACTTGGAACTTCTGAACTTCAGAAGACTGGGCCCAGAGTCTGGGGCCAAGAGTCTGTTGGATGATGTGATGATGTTGGATATTTTCCCTCAATGATGGGCAGCCTCCAAGGTATCGGTATATGATAACATGTACAAACCTGACCGTCTGCTGGTTTCGTAGCGCCACACCTTGACCCCGTGGTCCTGGTGACCGATCAGACGGGTGCAAACCCTGGCTCTGCGCCCCTGCAGTGGTTGGTTGATGCTTACAAGTCGCCGGGCCGCAGGAACAATCCGCTGATCAAGTGGGCGGTTTTTGGGTGCTCGAAACAGGAGCGAAAACATAGCGGTTTTTCCCTTGTTCCGGGTTTGAGCCGCATCATCTGGGTGTTGTCCAGTGTGTAGCACTCCTAGGCATGGTGTTTGGAGCACCCCTAGGGATCCAAGTGGCTCCTTGGAAGGTCTTTGTACCCCAACACCTATATCAAAGTAACGAACACACTGCCTTCTCAAAGGCCGGCAACTGATCCATAGGGCACGAGCAAGTGGATGCAAATATGGGTCAGCACAAGTGCGTTGACAATATCGGTGGGAGTCTTGACAAACATGAGAGATCATACCCTTCAGTCGCCTTTAGTTGGTACAAACTGCTGAGCCCTGAAAAATCAAAGTTCTCCTTGTTCTGTGGGTGTCCCATCCCCAAAAAGGTTTTGCAGGCTATCCTCATCCTCGGGGTTGCAATGGCTCCGATCTTCGTCTGCGATCCCACTGAGGCCGTGACAAATTGAGCGCGCGTGTAAACTCATTCTGGACCTTAGGCTCCGGCACAACGGCAACAGCCGCGGCTGTCTATGGCAACAGCCGTGACATCTCTAGGTACCTCCTGAGGTTCGGTGGTTGGGGTGGGTGCCACGGGGGTCTAACCACCTTCTGAGGATATGGTTGGAGCCCTAGGGTATGTACTATAGGGTATCAAAGCAACACTGGAAATTGTGTGATGATTTTTGGGGTCATAGCAAACACGCTAACACATGTGAGACAATCCCTTACACTTCCTCTCGCCCAGATTTCGCCCACAGGTGTGATGGAAAGAGAATTGCACACAACGAGTACCGCAAGAGTGATGTACATGGACCATACCTGGCCAACAATTGTATCCAAACCAATGCAATGATGTCGATTCATATACTGTACCACCGCTCGTTGACCCGGGTGGATCCCTCTATGAATCGACCACGGGCGTAGGTCATGGCCATCGATTAGTAGTTGTGGGGTTCATCTATCCAGAACATGTTGAAAAGGTATCTATTTGAAGGCTATGCGCTTCAGAGTCTTTTTTTTCAAGTCTTGGTCAAGAACAGTCAATATATGATCAACATATCATCAACCCATTCAACAACCACAATTGCCTAGGACCAATGGCCGTAGGCTTGCAGAAGCACAATATCCACTTCAAACACGGACGAACATGGCCGGTGCGGCCCTCAAAGAGGGCATACAATTCAATCTTTCTGGGCCATTTATATATTTTGACATGGGTTGGTCAAATCGCCCCATCTTTTGGGAAGAACAATGGATGGCATCCATGTTGATGACATTTTATGACAGCTTGTGCAGCTTGTGACTGGACATGTGCAGATTGAACTCGTCAACCGGGAACGTTGGATCTTGTTGCTCGGAACATATGTCTCCATCTCCAGATGCTCTGCGTCAGCTGAATCTTGAGAAAGACTTCCCACACAGTGTTTGTTGATGAAGTCAACTTTCCACGGGTCTTGTTTACCAGGAGATGCCATGAGACTCAGCATGAATGGGCTAGACCAAACGCTGTTGGTTTGTTCTTTTCCCTCTCGGAGACCTGACCAGGAGCTCTTTCATTTCGGCCTCAGATGCTTTCGCCTGCTCCTGGCAACCACTTCACACTGATCAACAGGACCCCAGAGTCGGATGAAGGTCATGGCTGATATTCTCTCAAGTAACACACGCAGCGCTGGCGCGTGAGACTAGATGGTGTACCGACAAAATGGATTAAATGGACAGCTTGCGTGTTGGACGTTGGAACTGGATTCACCACACAGTGTGGACCAGGTCGTTTTGTATCTCACCATACATTAAAGTGACGAAAAGCAAAGAACTCTGCATGCAAGGGTTGCCAAGAGTCGGCTCCAGCCATTCTGGCGGTGTTCCTTCAAACCATTACTACCTAATGACATCAAATGGTCCCGGAAGATGAAAGGACCGAGGAGTGAACACAGTTCAACCCCCTGGCCCATGGGTAGGCATGGAAATTCCGGGCCCATGACCCATGTATTTTTCTATGTTTGGCATATTAACCATGATCATCATTGACCCCTGAAGACCTATGTATACTTACATTGAAGTGGTGATACACTCCGACTCAATCACCTGGAAGTGGAGTTCACCCCCCATGTGCGTAGTCGGACAGTCGTCTTCCTTTCATCATGTCCAGTTCCATGTTTGACACTTTCCATTTCCCAGACACTCCATGTATGCCATATATGCCCTCATTGGGGTGGTTTTGGAGGTCTATGGAGCGGCGTATGTGGCAGTCCCACGGAGTGTCTGGGTTTTCTATGTCGCATCATGTCGAACATTATCCAATATATATATATATATACCCTAGGGATCCGGTCGTACCTTCTCAGAAGGCACGACCGGACCCTCCACAGCCACCCCAGTCCCACCGTACCTGAGGTTCGGTACAACTGGATCCCTAGGGCTTGGGGACCTCTCTTAGAAGCAAAATGTGGCTTTCAATCCGGCTGAGACTCGAACATTATCGAATATATATATATATATATATCCCATCTATTTTCGGTGGCCTCGTTTCCCGGGGCGTCCACGATCACCGGGGGCGGTCCCTCCTTCTCTGCGTCGGTGAAGTCGCGCACCTGGCACCATCGACCTAGCCACCTTTTGGGAGTCCCTCTTTGCGACGCATCAAAAGGTCACTGGGCAAATACATGCAATGTGGATCCTGAATCCACCCAAATGAGATGAATGGATCTTTTTTCTCGACATTCCCACATTCCACATCAACTTGATCTGAGTTCCATGTCGAAGTGGTTCGCAAAGCCCTTCTTCACCGCGTCTTGCCGCTCCAAGAAAGATACACCCCTTTGGAACGCTTGTTGATTCATTCCTAGTAGCTTCTTGCTCCTAGTAGTAAGGCCAGGAGCCATAGCTTCTTGTTACTAGTAGCGATGCCAGGAGCTACTAGTAACTTAAATTAGTAGCGTCCTTCCATGGATTTTGAGCGCATGGTTGCAACCAACAAAGAACGGCCTATAACGGCATTCGTTCACTGAACAAATACCTTTGACAACAATTGTACGGCTTTAACATCCAGTGTACAAATAGACGTTCCACCTAAACTCTTGGAAGGTTCATTGGAGGTCTTCGAGGACTTGGGGATAGTTCATTGGCCCACGACCATCGTGAGACGTTGTCTAGTCTATCGAAGTGTCTGACGCAACGTACATGGCTGGGTCAGCGAGTCCACCATTTAAAAGAGATGCAAGCGTGTGCGCCACACAATTTGTCTATTGATGTCTATGGGTCTGTGTTTGTTGATTCAACGTTCAGCAGTAGAAGTCACAAGTTAAGCACTGAAAGCCGCACAAAGGATCTCACCCGACCTTGTTTAACACCTCTCATGTGGGTTGCCATGCTATTATGTGCACATGAATGACCAACAACAAATACACCATCCTGATGGTTTGCACGTGCATGTTCGAAGAGGACAGCTGACTCTTCATCATCGGACCCGGAGTGTGGTATATCATATGTGGAAATCAGTGGAAATCTATCAGAGCAACTTCCTAAACGACTAACATCATAATCATAACAACAGGGCACTTGGGGATCCAAACACAACATCATAACATATGGTCGGATCAAATTCCTCTGTCAAACATGGATTCTTAGTACCTCTCAACCAAACTGGTCCGTTCTGTAGCACTTATAGTGACCCAAAAGATCCAACTAGTCACCTGGGACACCCCTGAGAGTCCAGTCATGACTCATGACTCACCCCGAACTGGTAGTGGTTACCAGGTGGAGTAATTAAAATGCCCTAAGAATCCGGACCCGAACCAACACATAGGGTTTGCTTCGGGCCACCCCTGCGTTTTGGAGGTTCGTCCGACCCCTGAGAGCCCGGACTCGGATTCTTAGGGTCAACACCGAACGACCGAGACCGACGACGGCCCCACCTTCGGCTTCGCCCGATGGAGGTTTGGGCGCGACGCCTTCGCGGGTTCCGCGTCCGCTTTGCTCCGCCTCGGGCGCACGGATCACTGGTCACGAGGTACAGTACGGTCGTGCAGTCTACTTCCCTAGGGATCCACATACCGAACCTCAGAAGGTACCACTGGGCCCGAACATGGCGCCTACAGAAAAAGTCTCCGTCCTCACCGTACCTGAGAAGGTACTTGGATCCCTAGGGCTTGGGGACCTCTCTTAGAAGCAAAATGTGGCTTTCAATCCGGCTGAGACTCGGTCAATCCTGAACACCACCGAAATCAATGGAACAAACACGGTATACAACTCTACCAGGACCTTCCAACAGGTGGTTTTTGGACACCCCTTAAGCTTTAAGAGGCTATTTATAGACACATCTTGGAAGGTCCTGGTACAAAAACACATCACCAACCCCAAAAAACATACTTTCGGGTCTTCTTTGGATCTTTTCAACCCAACGATCGACTGTGTTCAACAACCACAAACGCTGGCGGACACCATGTCGACGAGTGGCGTGGCTGGCCACGACGAGCGTCGGACGCGGCGCCTGGCGAGCCAGTCGCGCAAGTCGCTTCGGCAGTGGTTGGAACCCCAGGTTCGTACCTCATGTTGAAGCCCTTCCTGTTGGCATGTCATGACTCATGACCCATCTTTACTAAGTTGGTCATGGCTGGTTTTGGCGGTTGCTCACATGAGGTTAACACAGCAAGCAGATCTTACAGTTTTTGGTGCGCCAGAAGGCCAGCAAAAAGGTCCGGCCTCTTCGACGAAACATCAGATTTGTCCCCCCAAAGATCTTTGATCAATTCATATTCAGTTCCCTTCTAAATTGAATTCTGCAACAGGCCAGGCTGTCACAGCGTTGACCTCAACTGGACACACATAGAGTGACTTCAACAAACACCCCTGTGACAAATGGCGAAGACCAATGGTGCAGTGTATGTGTCTGGGTCGAACATCTCTGGAGTCAAAAACAATTCCCTCTGTTTGTCTATTCAGTTTCCACTCCTTTTGTTTTCCCCGAGACCAAGAAGGAGTCAGACATGGATCAAAAGCGTCCCCTTCAGAGCACCATCTCTTCAGCCCTTTTCAACCGCCGCAGAAATGCGCAGGTTCTTCCAGCTCCGCTCCGCCGGCTCCGCCCCCCCCGTTCCGGGCCAAAGAGTGTAGGAGAGGGCGAAGGTCACAAGGACCAAGAGCTCCTTGGAATCCGTTCGCTGCACAAACCGAACTGGGGAGAACCGCAGCCATCCGCAGGATACCGCATCATGGTGATGCCGTCGATACCGCGGAAACCCAGTTCGGGGCATCCAACCCGACTCCATGGTCTTTTGTTGCACAACACCGAAGATCCCATCCTACTCTCATGGACCAGTCCACCCATCAGTCCACCTCATCGCACGCCAAATGGGCCCTGAACTCAGGCTTTCACCGCCCAGTGCATGCACCGTCCTGAATGAAGGCGGTGTCATAGAGGGCCTCCGCCAGGCGGCCCAGATCACCTGGGCTCATCAAAACACGCCCCAAAAAAGATCCGTGGAGATTGAACGTTAATCTTTTTTGGAAGGAAGAGAGACTTTGCCGCCACGCTCGGTCGATGGTTTTTGGGCTCCTGAAGCTCACCTGTTGTTTTTTTCAGGTTGAGCGACAATCTAAAAATCTTTATCATATAGACGGGCGATCGCAGCGAACTGAGGCCACTCCCAACACCGCATCCACACATGTCAGTCCGATCTCACGATGGCTGTGTCAACCGCCGCAAGTCCGTAGAAAACAATGCCCTTTACGGCTTATACGACTTATCCTTCTCATTTGAGCCGTTCAAACCAACCTCCAAAGAAAGGGTGTTTGCTTGGATCAACTGGACTGGTTAGGAGCGGCCCGGCCCAAGTCCCAAGTGAGGGGCTTGGTGACCTGAAGGATCCTGAAGGTTTCACTCTCCAACACAACAGCCAAACAAACGGTGTCCTCCACTCAGGCCAAACAAACTGCTCGAGGGTCCATGGTCCGTCCGGATCCCAAGGTGACCGGTCACTGGATAAACATATAGCAGCCAATAAGCAAACGATCATGATGCGTCGTTTAGGCAGATGTTCATGGCTGGAGAGTGATCATATGGCCTGACTCTGCAGGGGAAAACCCCGTTTGAGGCAATCAAACATCTTCCCCACTGTTCAAAGTAGTGGGAGAACCGATCCCCCAACAAAGCCAACAAAGGAAGGTCAATTATACGATACACCCCAAAACGGTTTTGAAACAAGTGAAACCAATGTTGCCCTCCAAAAGAGGTTTTCTAGTTGAACAATTCACTAGATCCACCACACGGGCTGGGTCGAAATATTGAACAGTCGATTCCTCCCTTCCCTCCATGGGTTTCGTCCGCGCGTTTCGTCCGCTCAAACACGCAGGGCTCACTGGCCGCCATCGCACCGTTTTCGGATAAAAATCGTTGATGTAGACTGGCACGGGCGTGGCGTGACGACGCCAGGGGCCACCATTGACATCGTGGTCCCAGCGGCCTTTTTTTACAGCTACTGGTAGGTGTGTAGGGCAGTGTAGGGGCTGCGTGACCCTTACAACCTTGGGACCTTGGAACAAATGTTTAGTGAGGAATTGGGTTTGCACAGTGGATTGCAATTAACAGTACCCCGGGTGACCTATAGTATAGTATAGTGGCACATGTATCCGCAAATCGACTGGGTTTGTGTTTCCGTGGGTGTTCAGGTCAGAAATTCAAGAAACAAGTGCAAGTTGAGATAGAGTTGAGACATGTTGAGACCTCTTGCTTGGGTGTTTGCGGCAAAAACAGACCATGGCCTTTACAAAGGTTATTTTCAACATGGTTGGTATCTTCTCGTGCCCTATTATATACTTGGCCTATGCCTTTGGTTCATTGTCATTCGTTCAGCCGGTCAAGCAAGACTTAGTGCAAACAGGTCCTTGAATTGTTTTTTAAGGTGATGTTAAACTAGATGCATTTGCCTCTAGCGGTGGTTTAGCTGTGGACACTCTTGCACGACACTCTTGTCGGACACTCTTGTAGGACGGACACTCTTGTAGGACACTCTTGTAGCACACTCTTGTCGGGCACCTTTTCGGGCATTCTTGTAGGAGACTCTTGTGGGACACTCTTGTAGGACACCCTTGTCGGACACTCTCGTGGGACACTCTTGTGGGACACTCTTGTAGGACACTCTTGTCGAACACTCTTGTGGAAAAGTCTTGTGGAAAAGTCTTGTGGGACACTCTTGCGGAACACTCTTGCAGGCCTCTCTTGTGGGACACTCTGGTGGACACCCTTGTAGGACCCAGGACACAGCAAAGTTTGCACCACACCACGTTCTGAGCAAACTCCCACCCACAAAAAACGCAACTTTAGCTAAGACTCCTCACGAAAACACAGCTTCGAAGCAACAGCCTGAAACGCAAATCGCAATTCACATCCGACACAGCCAATCCCAATGTGACTGCGCCGAAAACTACCAGTCTCACAAAATGCTGCGCCTGCGCAGTGAATTCATCCTCCACACTTCGTCCTCTCGCATTTCCACACGTTTCCTCGTTGTTTTAACACGAACCTGACACGTCATGCTTCCGCCCAAAGCCGTCTCCAAACGCATCGCCCAATGTGAGCGCCATATAGCGCCCCACGGCGAACGGCTGCGAATGCTCCGACAACGAGTCGCGAACAAGGCTCTACCCCCAGACCCCCAGAGTTTGCTACGCATTCGGGGAAAAAAGGTCGAATGTATTTGCTATCAGGTTGGAGGCCATCGCTAGTAGGTTGGAGGCCATGGTTATTAGAAACAACCTTGCTAGTCGATCTGCTTCTTCCGATGAGCCCTTGTCCGCTGTCCCTTCAAGTGTATATATATATATATATGTATAGATATGCTGCTCCCCCCCAAATGTCTACCGCTAGCTAGCATGTTTTTTACCCTGCGTTGTCCTGTAGTTTAAGCGCATTAATTTATATAAGCAGAATGGCTGACCAATGCACACAGATCATGAAATATGTTTCCCAAGGTTGGGAAATTAGAGAACAAGGATTCATTCCAGTTCATACTGTTAGTAATATATAATATGTGTATTTCAAACATTGGGATTGCAATTCCAAGTATGAATCTCGTGGTGCACAAGTGTGAAGACCCCCAAAAAACAAAACAGTTTACATAAGCAATTGTGAACATGACACTGAACAAGAGTATATATAAGCACTCAAGCTTATACTGTCGGTTGCACCCAGTGCAATTGCACATATGATAACTGATGAATACAACTCATTATATCAGTTGTTTTTTGCACTATGACATTACATAGACATATACATGTGTGACAGTCGAACTAGAACGTTGACCTGCATGCTTTGTTTTTGTGACTATCACCGGTAAAACGTAAATTCACAGAACTGTTTGCGTGCATGACAGTTGATAGTATCATAGGTTAAGATTGCAACTCAAGATTGCAACTCACATTGTCAAGTTGTCAAGTGTTTACAACGCACATGTGCATATGAGAATTGCTGAAGACAACTGATAATGTACATTGTTAGCCTTCTCATACCGTCAGCTGTACCCAACGCAAGTGTAAGGATGAGAATTGACGAATGCAACTCTCACATTGAAGTTGAAAATCCAAACACATAAACTGATTATTTGAGAACTGTGACAACCACTGTTAAACATAAGAATTGACAGGCTCACTTGTGATTGTGACTTCTCATACTCACACAACGGTTATGTCGGGACGTGACTCCAGATAATCGTTCGCTCTCCTCCTTCCCTCCGCCTGTACTAGGTTCATAGATTGATATCTTGATATATCAAATCATCAACCACCGAAAAGTCTATAGTCTATAAATACTTCATTTCACCAAATCGGACAAATGTTCATTAACTCTCTGTTTTTCTCCTTTCATTTCAATTATCTAGGGTACTTCTCTCCAGGTCTGTTGAGGATCTGTTTTCCTCTTCGAGCCGCTGCAACCCAACTGCTCACAGACTACGGTACTCGTTGTGTCAGAGACCGAGCCACCCAAAATACTCATTGGTGAGAGGGACCCATCACCCTTGAGTGTGGTTCGTTTAAGGGAGGCCGCTTGAAAGAAACCACAACAATGATCAACAATGACAGCACAGTGCAAAGATCTGAAAAGACCAGTAATATTGTTCACGTAAAAACTCCCTTGGACGAAGTCGGCAAAGACAGGAGTCTTCCAAGTAAAGCATCCATTCTTGCCCCGGCAGCGCTGGTCGCGCTGGTGGCGCTGATGCTGGTGGTGGTGGTCTGTGCGGTGGTCTCTGCTGCGCGCTGGGCTAGGCTGGATGAGTAGATACTTGAAGTTGCAACTGGATCTGAAGCTGCTCTGTCCTGGTGTATTGCAAAAGGGACTCGAGATAGGCTAAATGCCAAGCACAAACTCGGGAGCCATACAATGCAAAGCGCAAAACTTGGGTGATGCAAGAATCTGGTGTCAAAAAAGGGGTCAAACACGTATATGAATATGTTCACAGAAACCGATGCTCTGATGCAAGGACGTCTTCTCAAAACAAACTGACCGTGGCAATGCTCGGATGCAAAAGTGGACAAAAAGTAAAAGGTTTGCACTGACACTCTGATGTTTTGCATTCAAAGCGGAAAAGCGACACAGATGGGAGGTCGTGCCGCTAGATATACAAATACTTTGCACTAACAAAGCTTCAGATAAACAGCATGAAGATACAAAGGCAAACAAATGATTGTTAAAGTTCATGAGTATAGGGATGTTGGAAAACGGAACTAACAAGAGCCAGAAGAGTATGAAGGGTATAGATGTTGAAAGTTTGAGTGAGGCAGTGTATATCAAAATCTGATGATTAGATTGTATTTTATGATACCGAGGATTTAGTTGCAATAACGAATGAAACATAATCAGGTGCAATGCTTATGATGATTTGAAGGATGTCACAATCACAGACACTTTAAGTTTGGGGATTTCACATAGTATTACATTATTTAAGTTAAACAGAAACAGCCACCAAAAACGTTACTCTAACTGTATCTTTTGCCAGACACGGGACAATGCCGTGGAGCTCTGACAAAAAGACTATCAAGCATTGAAAGATGGCTTCTAATGCGGCAACGTTCTTCATAATTTGATTGGTATTGTGGCATGTTTGGGGGAGGCATGATCCAAGATTCAAAGGTTTAACATGTCTAGAAGACACTCCAATGCTCACAAAAGGGGTAGACTTTTCAGTGAGGTACCATATATATATGTATATATCATATATGCCCATAACAAGGGCAATCATGTTTGGAGCCTCACGCTTCGGCCATTTACGAAAACAATTAAACATACTCCAAGGCCAAACAAACTACAACAAGAGTCTTTCAAATCTTCAGTTGGAGGCCATCGCAATTAGGCTGGAAGCCATCGTCTCACCATTTGACATTCTTCCAAGAATCTATGGGTTTGTCATGGTTTGTCCTACGAGTACCTATATATATATATATATTTGGAACACAATTGCAATTGATGGGTGTTTTGACATGCTCGGACAGCAATGTTCGGACATGTTTAGACTATTTTGGAACGCTTTGAGTACCCACTGGGGATCACCCTCTCAAAGGGTGGCTGTAAAATGCAGTGGATTCAGGGTGTAACCTCACGGTCACGGGTGCTTTCTTGGGGTCCGTAGTTCAACAAACCTGTATTTGGGTCTGTGAACCACATAAACATCCGCAACCAAAATGAACATCCGATCAAAAAAACACGTTCGGGAAAAACACCTGTGGCTCACCAATAAACGCCCGTAGCTAGTGTAGAAATGCCCGTGAAATATCTGAAACAAATCAAACATCTAGAGAAACATCCGCAGACTCAACATAAGGCTGTGACTCCAAAATATGTGTTTCACGCCACACATGAATTATGCACTCTGAGGAAGCTCCAGGTATATATAACATGCATAGTAATCCAGTATTATACAGTGTTGGTCTTTTCATGTCTTTTATTCGAACCCATCGGCGCCAAATCTCCCATCTCCCCATCGAACCCCCCCCACCTCGCTTAGACCGTGCCCCGCAGTGGTCTTCCGCGGGTGAACCTGAGGGTTACGGCCCCGACGGAGTCTCCGTTTTTCATGGCACGCAGTGGGCCGCAAAGACTGGAGGACATGTCAGAACTGGCACTCAGCCGGTACTTCAGAAGCTGCAAGAAGCGGCATTGGTCCTCTCAAACAAGAGACTCTGCGCCATATCATTTGGGTGTGTATTCAAATAGGAAGACCTCCCGGTTCGACCCCCTGGAAGGGAAATAGACCAGTCTACCCATTGGTTGGGGGTCCCCCTATCCAAATACCACACCCAATTGGTTGTTGACCAGACTTGTCGAACAGCACGCGCGCGCGGTTGACTCCCAGGCTCGGTTCTGGACATGCAGTCTGGACCAGGTCTCAAACTAGGACACCAATCTACGGTGTGCCTCATGAAAAATGCTGCGTGTATAACCATCTTGGAGTCGATCTAATAATATGAACCAATCCAATAACAATCAAATGATATCAGATGTCCATTGGTTTCGGATTTTCACCGATTCTATCTACTCCAGGATGACTACAATTTGTTGATTTGGTCTGTTTTTGGATTCAAATCAGAAAAAATAGAACAAACAAAACCGCCGGACATCAGCTCTAGAGAAAAAAGAGCAAATTCAACTCAGCCAGCAGTTCCAAATTGGGGTGCTTAACATATGGAGGAAGTCGGGGTGCCCGACTTAACCACTGGATGGGTCTTATTGAAAAAAACACCTGGACTTGGAACTCCTGGAGCTGCTGATTTTTGCCTTTCCAAAGGATCCCAGCGATCCAGTTCCGATGGAATATTGTTCCAACCTTGAGACGTCCGGTGGACGTGAAGAAGCAGGACGTGAACACCGCGCTCTCCTCCAAAAAGAATCCATTTGATGGATTCTTTCTCAGGCCCAGGAGTTGCTGGCTTACAGCGCTCGACGAACGGATGGGGCTGATTCTGACCGTGCTCGACTAAGGGCCGTGGGGGCCGTGTGGAAGCACGAAGCACCCTGAGGGGGACCCCTTTGGATTGGCTGTGGTGTTGCTCTTTCCAGCCCCGGATTGTCCTTCGAAGGGTGTGGAATCACACCGCAAACGTGGTGGTGAAAACCCCGGGTGCCCGGACGAAACAAATGGAAGAACGTCGCGCGTGGTGTGAGAAACACGGAGGATAGAACGCTAAGCTTTGAATGTTCGAGCCGGAAAGCAGGCGGTTTTGGAGCATTTCCAGTAGCCTGTGACTGAGAGGTGCTTCTTAATGCAGGAAGAAACACATGTGCAGTGCACATGTTCCTGAACACAATAGGGACAAATGTGCATTGTGCAGCTCTCATTAGCTAGTCAAAGGTCACTGCTCACCTTGGGCTGGTGCTTAAACTTCCCCTGGCCACATTTGCCTTACACCCTTTGCCTTTGCACAAAGCAAACTCACATGCAAGTCCCTGGGGATCCAGTCGTACCTTCTCAGACCGCACGACTGGACCCTCCAAAACCACATAACACTGTCTCCCTGCTCACCTACTGAGAAGGTACTTGGATCCCTAGAAATTGATAAGCAATTTTTGACAAGGACACATCCCATGAAAAAAAGAACTATATATATATTAATATATATATAGAAGAAAAGACAAGCTTGAAGCCTTCGGACGTCCTGGAACATCGTTCCCTTCTTTCTCCCTTTTTCAGGGACACTCCAGGCGATCCCGACGGACCCGCCACATTGAGTTCGGCGATTCCGACGAACTTGACGGCTTTCAGATGATCGAACACCGTGAGGCGTGCTCCATTCCCACTCCATTGGGGGTGGCTGAAAAGGGATCAAAACGTAGGGAGAAAAAGTGGTGTGTCAAAGCCCAGGCTCCCTACCTTCGGTTCCAAAGAGTTTTGACTCAAAACGCATCTCATTGCCATGGATTCATACATGGTGTGTCTGGGTGAGGCGCCACTCTGTCCGGTTGGTAGAAATCCCAAGCTTTCATAGACTGATCTGGGGAAGTGAAATGAAAACGTGTCTCAAAGGTAGTGACAAAACAATAACTACTATCCGAAAACGTTCAGAAATGAGAAAGAGGTGGGCACAACGCATGTATCACAACGCAAAAGCCTTGTACAGTAGTTTATTGGACATGCGGTCAAAAGAAATCCAACCACATGTTCTGGTCCATGACCCTTCGACAAAGTTCAAGATCCAACCATTCAAACAAATATGGGCAAGGGCTGGGCTGCCCAAAGTGTGTCTTGCGACCCCACCTCGACAGCAAACCTACCTCCATGCTCGCACATGCTCGCACCATTTTGCCCCAGGAGCCGTCTGCTCAGCGTCTGCTCGTCTGCATGGCTTCCTCGGCGCTCTCGGCTTCCTAGCCGCAGCAAGGGAACTTGCCAACCAAGTTCCTTCATGTCCAACGCTCCGCTCTTTCTGGGATTCCCCAAAGATTCCAAAACAACATATATCGAGTCCGCATCAAGTCAGCCCCTAAAAACAAAACAAAGTGTATATATATAATTAAATATATACCCAATGGAACAACCTAGCAACCTAGCAGGAAAAGCAATCTAGCAGGAAAAGCAATTTGCAAACCTCTGACCCCTCAGTTTCCCTGGAAGTTAGCTATTGTGTTTTTGTTCCATCTCTTCATATCTAGTGGGGAAATGAATCCACCAAAAATGGTTAAAGGTCATCCACTTTTCCTGGGTAGGACCTCTTAAGTTGAAGTGAAATCCCCATGTCCATCCTGTAGCCGGATCTTGGCAGTGAAAAAAGAAACACCAGGGGCCAAAGGGGCAGTGGAGGACGGTACTGGCGCACCATGACCCATGCCTCAAAGAAGACCCATTGTGGAAGAAGACCTCGTGTACCTTTTTCCCGATGTTGGGCTTTTGTTGGCGCCCAAGTACTATACACATGTCCTTTGCATATGGCAAGACGAGGTGACGCAAGCAGTAAACCTGGCTTCCAAAAGGGCAAACTGGTGGTTTTCACTTGACAAGGACTGGCTGCATGGCTGATGTGCAAACAAAACAGTTGTAACATTATCCAAAACCTCCCCCATTCAACAAAGCAAAGGCAAAACCCCCAGCGGAAACTTGCCTTTTGTGACACACAACGTGGCTGTCGGTCCAGACTTGGCAAAGACGGTTAATGCCAATGAGAATGTTGCTGGGCATTCATTCCACCAAACAGCTTCAACCAGTGTTATCCCACTTCTTTCCAGGATGATCAACTCATTCACAACAGTCCATCCCCAGGCCATCCCCACTGCAGCATCTGGCCGTTTTCTGCATTAGCCAGCTGTCCAAAGTCCTAAATGTCTTGCATCTACTCCCGACCCACCAAGTGGAAGATGTAGACCAATGACTACCCATCATGCTCTTTGCCCCTCCCATCACTGTCTGTTGGTGGGTGGGGAGTAGATCCAAGTCTGTAGTGTCAATGGACAAGACGAACTGCACCATAGATGGAGATACCCATACCAAGGTCCTTGATCAATAAAACGAATCTGCAGCGGTCCCAAGAGAAACTTTCAAAGCTTGGTGCTCCCAATAGCAAAAGCATATTTTCTACGGATGCTTTCGCTTCTCTCCATCAACAGTGAAATCTGCACGCTCCCGCTGTACCAGCTAGATTACAGGCTGCAATCATCGGGCCCCCTGTACAAGTACCACAGGTGCATCCCGGCCTGCCGGCGTTGTCGGGCTCGCTTGCATGCCGGCCCGCACAGAATCCCATCAAAGCATCTGAATCCCAGGTCGCCCAAATAAAATATAAAAGTATTCTCCTACTATGTCCTACTGCCGTTTACCCACCATGGACAAAGGCCTTGGTAGCCTCTGGTAGTGGCCAAGTACCCCTGAACAAGTCCACTGTCTATAAAGATGCCTGCAAAAAGGAGCACGTTGTGCAGCAAAGCTACCAAGCACTGCACATGCTGTGGTTCTTGTCTCGAGTACCCAGGGTCGAGAGGGGCAAAGCATGATGCTCTATGCCAGGCCCCCCTATCTCTAGGCTACTAGTAACAAGGACGCTATTAGGTGGAGGCCATCGCTACTAGGGTGGAGGCCATTACTACTAGGAAAAAGAAGCTACTAGTAACATGTTAATATTTGACACCCCCAACCGGAGAGGGCCCATGTAGGATGTGTCTCCATGGTTGGTGGAACGTTGATGCCATCCTCTCCGGATGGCTCTTACACTGTTTTGTGAAGCCTTAGGCTTCTAACCACCAAACATTTAATAGGCTTTACCGAACCAGCATTGTTTTACCGATTTTGCACTACGAAACCAGGTCGACCATATTTGGCGTTGGAAGAGTATATCGGGTGACGACTGCACGGCGAACTCCGCGGATGCGACTCCGCGGAACGAACCGCGACTCCGTTGCTCAGCGGGCGAAGCAACAAACACTTGGCCGAAGAAGGGCGGTGGATGTAGGGTCCTTCAATGAAACAAAGAGAAATTGAGTCATTATATCCACATTTTGCCACCGGTTTCAAACTGTTACCAGTATGTGACTGAAGCTACCTGCCAATGGATCTTCAGAAACAAGAGACACAAAATGATCAACATGTTGCTCACTTTTCCACTGATCGGCCGGCCTATGTATCAAGACGTAGGCCGTTCTCTCACGGCCTTCTATGTGGACCTAAATAATGACGCTGGTTGACTATGTCTGCATTGACCCGAATCCACCCAGAAAAGACTCGGAACTCGCCTACAAACAGTCCAATAGCACCATCTTCACCTCGCTCCGCTCGCCCTCCGAGTTCTGCTCGCTCCGCTGCGACTCCCGCTCGAGCATGGCAACCAAGAGGTTTGCACTGGAGTACCTGAGTCTTCGCTCTCTGTGTACGGGATAAACGTTTCGTAGGCACAGAATGCTACTGTATAGAAGTTCAACATTTGATAGCCTAAGTTTTTTTCACTTCGTGGCCGAACGACCTTTGAAGAACCCGTGATGACCTTTTTGCGCCTGGCTGTGACCGAACGACCGAGCGAATCAAGAACCAGGAGCGTAAGATGATCAGTGTTTGTTTTCGAATCCTGGAGGTTCATTCCCTCCAAACCTGGACGCATCAAAGACTTCATGTCAGTTGTGCAGATCGACGTGAGCGTGAGCGCGCAGAACTGGAGAAGAACTCTGACTGCAATCCCGGGACTCGAGTACCTTCTCAGAAGGTACTTGGACCATCTTGGACCCTCCAAACCTACATAATAGTGTCTCCTTTGACCTTATGCCTTATATGCCTTATGACAAGGTACGGCTGGATCCCTATAGGGAATGGAGAACCTGCTTCAAAAAGTTGCATGAGCCACTGAGGTACCTTGCGCATGCCGCTGTTTCTTTTGCACAAACAATTGTGCTTCCAAACTCTTTGGAGATGTTGACCCCCCCAAAAAAATAGAATGGTGTTGTGGTCTTTCCAGTGTTTCATATATTGCAGTAACCACTCAACCAGTGGATGAAAAAGGCCCACCTCCTCTCGGCCTACGTACAGATAGCAGCTTGAAAGGGGGGATGCACGCTGGAACAATGTCTCATCTTCTTCTGTTCCCCCGTTATCTCCAAAAGCCGCACGGTGTGCTTAGTCCTTCTCAAGTGATCTGAGATCATGTCAGTTGGGAAGTCTTTCGTGGAAACGAACAAAGAGCGTCCTGTTTAAATCGGTCGACGGCATTCACCGGTGACGAAGGCGCTGGAAGGTGTGGTAGAGCACCAGCCCCAGGAAAGGCACATAGAAGGCCGCCAAGACCACGGTGCCAAAGCCGCAGAGATACCAGCCGTGTTGGTAGACGAAAATCCTCAGTCTTGGGGCGTTTTTCATTGCAGTTCTCTGATTTCCCTTGACCAGATGCTGGCTTCGAATATTGCTGTACCACCTGAGATAGGCAAGAAACACTCGGTAGTTCCAAGGTGTTTGAGGAGTCAATGAGATTGATCGAATCATCGCTTCATGTGGATGACATGACATGAAGCGCAGAGAACTGGCAAAACCACTTCGTTCCTGACCCCGAAGGCAAACAGCCAAAGTACTTTGGGACATTGGAACATGACACTTGTACTTCTATTCATATTCTGATGTACGAACTGAGACTCAAGCGGCTTGGGGTGTCAGTTTTGGGTATATAGATCTTGGGTCAACAATGCCCGGCTCCACACAACAAATGCCATACCAAACCAAAAAGGCA